CCTAAACTTTATAAGTAATCCATGAGAACAGTATGCTTTCCTCTCATGAGTTGTTGAAAAAGCAATAGAAGTAATTTCTGAGATCTTCTGAATAACTTGAGTATTCAAGCCCGAAGCATTTGTCAAGTTGGCTGAGAATGTTCAACTTCTCACTGCTGTCTGGGTGTTCAACACGCTCGGTCCTTTAGGTTTTCACGTATCTAGGGGTTTGAATCTCATTTATTATGTCACCACATTTGAGATGTATGGCAAATATATGATAATGTCACCCTGGTTGTGGTGCGAATTCCGAGTATGGAGGGTTATGCGTGAGGACCTCTTCCTCCGTAGTAAATCTGTGGAGGTGTATGAATTTATTAGTATTGAGTTTTACTTTGCCGTTTTTCACAGATTTATTCACACGTCTAGAAAATGCAACACAAGGAGCCAATAGTCTCGTCTTTTGTTAAGAGAAAGCAAAAAATAAACTATAAGTTGAATCTACTGCTGGCAAAATAATTCATGAAGTGAAGGTGTTATGCCGTTCGCTCTTAGTTTAGTTCAGCCTATTCCTTCGAGTCCAAAGTTCAGTTTCTGCGCAGTATTTTTGAAGACCACCAGCTTGACAAAGAAAATGACGGATATGGATGGTGGGAAAATGTTAATTACGAACCTCGACAAACCAATTAAGGACTAGATAATATTACTTTTAAGTTTTCGACCATTCACATCAGTTTTTAGTTGATGACTGGGAAATTCAGAAGGTCTACCATTCATAGGTTTGATTGGATGCTTCAATTTGTTTTGCTTAAAATGTGGATATAAGATTTAGAAAATCGCTATCCCAAGACGTTTAGAATTGTCGTTCAGATCACGGTTTATTTTAAAATATAGTTTGAAATATAGCCATATGAAGTAAGTTTTACATGGAATTAGCAATACCCTATTTTACTTTGACAGCAGTAAAGTTTGTTATCACTTGACTATTAGGAGTTGTTGAAGTCCACTGTATAAACTAATTAAGAGGTAGCGAAAACAACCCATTGCTAGTATTCTTCACACAAATGCACGAACAAGAAATGAAGGAGACTAAATCTACGTTTACCGCTTGATGTGTTTATACATTAATTTCATGCTATCTTTCTCATAGTTAGACGTTCATGAAGATATATATGGAATTTTAACTTTATCGAAAAGATATGTCTACTTGGTTGTTTAAGCACACATTTTATATTAGTAAAGGATTAAGATATGCCACATAGATAAAATGAGGAAGGGTTGTATAACGAAGAAATTAATGGATAAAAATAATGTTTAATAAAAGCCACAGTTTGGTTAGAAGTAGAACGAAGACAAAATCTTTTAGTTCGGGATGGCTAACTGAACATTAAGAAGAAAATATGGTTATAAATTAAGACAGAAACACCACTGGTTTTTGTTCCAAGGAATGTACAGTAGTGTCTGAAGACACAATTGGATAGCCTTTAAAGCTCATGACCCGACCGTTGCTGCTACCTTGACGTAGTGGCCGAGCTTGCTATCGCAGTGAACCAGTCGCGTTATACTGACTGGAACAATCGCTCCTCAAGGTTCTACCATGCAAGACAGGTCGGTTGAAAGGCGGTAAGACTAAAAGCAGCAAACTCAAGGTCCGATAACGAAGTCGTACAGAGATATGATGGCAGCAAGGTGTTTCCTCCAGACAGCCAGCATAACAGCGATGCTGCCTTCCCACAAGCAGTGGTGGGTTAAAAAAGGTAGAATCTGAAAATTCACACTTCGTCTTAACCCATGTATATCCGTCTCCGGAGGTAAAGTCTCAGCAAGTACGGAGCTAACACGAAAATTACCCACAAAAAAGTTGTGTGTGACCGACCTCAAGCAGTTGTCTCTTGGGCACCGCGGTCACGCTCTCAGGTCACTAAGACAACTTCTAACACTAAACGCCCAGACATGGTACTTGTGGCAGGTGAATTTAATGCCCAAGTAGGTGGCTCAAACCAAACAGAAAGACATTTAGTTGAGTGTTTTGATATTTCGGGTCAGCAAACAGATAATGGTGATCGTCTGCTGCAACTGTGCTCAGAAAATCGTTTATTTTTAGCAAGCACTAACTTTAATCATAAGGTGAGACATCGGTTAACATGGCAACCGCCTGCACCAAACCAACGATGGACTCAAATAGACCAAATTGCCATCAGTTGTCGTTGAAGAGGCTCGATAGTAGACTGTTAATCGTTCTGGAATACATGTTTAAACTCTGATCATGCTCTATTACGTGTACGCATTTGCTTGCGCCTCACTGGACACAGAAAAACTACATTAAGAAGACCTATTAAAATTGAACTAAGTGAAGAGGATCTAAAAGTGGATTCCAGGAACAACCTAGGTCGCACTTAGGCAGTTCTGAAAACGAAGCTGAATCAGATGTTGCTTGGAATGACACACAAACAACTGTGGAAACAGCGGTGACATCTTTTAGTGATTTGAACCAAAAGGTAAAAAAAACCAATGAATTTTTCTAAGTCTATTTCATTGATAGATCCCCGTAAAATCATCCTGTCTGACTCCAAACACAATGAAGAACAAAAGCACATCAGATCTAGGTTGACCAAAAGTCTAAGGAACAACTGTGAGCAGTGGTGAGCAACGAAAGCAAAGGGGATGGAGAAAGCAGCAGCTGCAGGTATAACCAGACAGCTTTTCAGACCAATAAAAGGAACTGCGATTAAGAAGTCATGTGCAAGTGAAACGATCACAGAAAAGACGACACTCTTACCGGCTTTCAACCAGGATGCTTAGAACGATGAGCGGAACAACTTAAGAAGCAGTTCAGATGGCCGTCAGCTACTCTACAACTACCCACCATTCCCAGACAGCCTGAATGGAACAGCGAAGAACCCTTCTCCCGAAAAGAACTCTAATTGAAGTTCGAAAAGCTATAGCTAATCTGAAACAAGGAACATCAGCTTGTCCAGATGGATGATGATCCAGTTCCAGTGATTAAATCTGACTAATATTTTAGCTAAAATCTGGGGATTGGACGTAATCCCATCTGACTGGTCACAATCACTGATTGTCCCAATATATACGAAGGGGTCAAAATCATCCTGTAATGACCAAAGGGATTAGTTTGGCTAATAAAGCATTTAAAATACTAGCCTCAATAATTATCAGGCGCCTAACAATGGCTCGTGAACTGCAAACATGAGAAAATCAGGCTGGCTACAACTTGGTCGTTGATGCATCGACCACATATTCACCATTCGTCATATTTTAGAACATAGGCATGTTTATCGGCGTCCAAAAATGGTGGTCTCCTTTGACATAAAATCAACATTTGATTCTGTAGACGGAGGGATTCTGTGTCAGTGTCTGTCATTGAAAGGCGCACCTCAGAAAAACATAAACCTTGTGAAGGCTCTTTACTCGAGCACTACCAGTCGAATCAGAGCATATGGCGAACTGTCATCTGCTTTTACAGCTTCGAGTGGCGTCCGACAAGGCTGTCCACTATTTCTGTTTAATTTCATTATAGACCTACTGCTGGAGATAACGATCTCGTCGTCTAAATTTCCAGGAATTGATCTCATACCAGGAGGTTTACTTATCGACTTAGAATACGCAGACGATATAGTCCTGCCTAGTGAAGACGCTGATAAAATGCAGTCTTTTGGTAGCGCTGGGCAACAATGCCAGAATGTTTGTGATGCTCTCCTCCTCCTCTAAATGCAAGTTGTTGTTCAGGACTGGCCTGCGTCAACACCTGAATTAAGGATAGGGAGCGAAGTAGTCGAACACGTCGACAACCTCACTAAACTTGGGAGTTTGATCAGCACTAATGGGTTGGTGTCTGACGGAATCCCAGCACTGATTCAGAAAGCTCGTTTATCTTTTGCTAACTTACGTCATCTATGGCGAGGGTGATATATCCGTCTGTCAATTGAAGGACGATTACACTGTGCGTCAGTTCATTCTGTTCTACTTTACGGCTGTGAAACGTGGCCATTAAGAGTTGAAGATATTCGTAAGTTACTAGTATTTGATCACAGATGCCTTATAAATATTGCTCTCATCTTTCGGTATCAGTGGGTAAGTAGTAGTGAGGTTAGACGTGTGGTGGACCAGAAAAATATGATGGTAGATCAGTTGATGAGGTTGTGAATCTCCATCAACTGAGGTGGTTGGGCCACGTGTTGTGTATGCCTGAAAACCGATCACTACGACGCGTAATGCTGACTAGTGTTGGAGACGGTTGGAAGGAAGTTAAAGGTGACCAAACCACAATGTGGCATCAGTGTTTGAAGTCACTAACGTCTGGTCTGAGCCATGTTTGCAGATGCAGACTACTTGGTTGTTGTCCGCGCGACTATCATTACCAGTGGTTGGAAACTGTGGGCGACATGTCTCAGAATCGATCACAATGGCGTTGGTGCATGCACTCTTTGTCTGCCCTTAAACCGTAAGATTAAAATTGCCTTGTTTTTTTTCTACGGACTAGTTCTTTCTTCCTTTATTATATCTTTATATGTGCTAAACTAAACATATCTGTTCAGTTGAAGTTTGGATAAATCTCAAAAACGTTCGTACATTTCCATAAAACGTTTTTTTGTTCAACTTTTTACAATGAATGGCTACTTAGGTTAGTGTCATATTTTGTGTGTCATTGGACCATCTCTCTTGATTAATGAAATAATAAGACTAACTTTAACTTGACTCGGTAGATTTCAACAATGCATTACACCCTGAACAAATGAAATACATTCATAAAAAAATAAACGATAAAAACCTTGATTTATCACATTGGAACTCATAAATATTTGTTTGTGTGTTATAGAAATATGTTTGTTTCTCTTTCTCTCTTCACACATCATTGATGTTTCTAATTAACCAATAGTAAAGAATAGTGATTTCGAAATTTCTTATATAATTACTTTTTTTGTTTGTTTTTAGAATTTAAAAACAAACTTGTAAAAGTATTATCTAATTTGATCTGTGTTCCAGATAAATTTTGGAGCTCAATGAACAAAGATTTATATGGTAGGTCAGCTGTTAATACCCATCACTTTATTTGTGATATTCTGTTAGTTAGTTACTTAGTTAGTTAATTTTTCTTATTTACTGCAATGTTGACTTTTTTTTCTTTTCATGGCGACAATTGATAGGTAGCTGTATTGTATAATTAATAGGAGAGAAAGAGGAATTCAATAAATTTCATACATACACAAATGCTAACATAACTATTAAATGAATGATAAGCTAAGTATTATTTGATAACAAAAATAATCTTTATATGAAATGAGGTCTACATAATTGCGGAACTATTTTTAAACTGACTACTTTATATATAACTAGAAATAATAACTTGATTTTAACTACTGCTATGAGAGGCCTGTGAAGATTATTGAATTTTATAGTTTACACCTTATTAGTGAACCAGTACAAAGACTCTACCGGTGATGAAATTCGGAACCTTCAGCTCAGTTCTATGAGCGTCTAACATTCAAAGATTTCAGATGGTATCTAATCTTTTAAATTGTTTGAATTTAATTCTAATCATTTTGTAGCATTGAAAATAGAATTTCATAATTTCCTTCGTTACTTTTAATAGTCGGTATATATATCGTTGTTGTTGAACAGTTCTCTTTAATCTCCTAAAGTTCCTTAGGATTCATATTTCATTTTACTAAACCGTACGAAACATTAATTTGAAAAGTTAAAAAAAATCACTAAATAAAGTCATATCAAATTATTGTATATATGTCATTTCTCCGTAATTTTAAATCAACTGAATGTAGTTCATCTTGATCATTACAAACAATAAATGGGGTAAAAAACATATAAATGTTAAGTAATGGAATGTTCTTATTTGTATTATCAGCATTCTTGACTTTTTTGACCTAATTAGGGTCCCCATGATTATCACAACCAGTGGTTAGAAACATGGCTTAAGATCGTTTGGAATGGCTCTGGTGCATCCGTCTTTTATATTCCCCCGAATTCCGAGATTCGAAATTCCTCATGACTGTTTTATTTCATTATTTCACTAATTTCTTCTCGAATCGTATCTTCGATGTCTAATCTTTTCTATTACAACTGGTACCGTTACTGCCACTACCATTCTAGGATTTGACCTGACAACTTACTCTCTCAGTACTAACGGCGTTTGGCAACTTGAATCTATGTACAAATATACCATTTTCTACGTTGTAACTAACTGACTGATCTTAAAAACTTGGTGGAACAAACGTAATTTGCTTTGAAACTACTTAAAATCACTTTCAACTTTTAGACATGTGATTTGCTTCATCTAAAGTGCACCAAGAGAACACAGTACAAAATGGTCTTTAAAATCTCGTTTTATCTTATCATGCTAATCTTATTCTTTTTTGTTTTCGTTTAAATTACACTAACTAACTTTGACTACTTCATTTAATTTAGTGATTTGATATCGCTTAACATAGTAATTTAACCCTTGAACTAAATAACCTGTGTTTACTTGATTACTTTGAAAAACTTTCTCGCCTGTCACATTTTTATTATCACATGATTTACTTAAATCAAATCGTGATTTCATTCATACAAAATTATAAATTAAAGTAAGTTGGGTAATAGTCAGTGTAATTGACTCAAAAATTTTGAATGAAGGGATGTTATATGAACTATGATTTAAGACTGTTTTTACTGTCAACTAATTGTAAGCCTTATATGCGATATAAATGAAAATGAGATATTCTCACTATGATTCATTCAAAGCTTTGGAACTTCTCAAACGTTAATTAATTCAAAATTGTCACGGTCGACCATTGTTATACATTTTTTTAGTCGAAAATCTGTATTTTCTTCTACCACATTACATTCTCCTCATTTTACTTTTAATATTCCAACCAAAACATCAAAGTTACTTTGAGGGATAATATGAAGTGACTTTTAAGCATTGTATGTATTTTCAAATACATTAAGAGGCAGAGCATCCCTCAACTTCAATCGCTCGTTTCTTTAACTATAAATGCGAAAGTATCAACCGTTCAATACTTTTGATCACATGTCGTTTTCTTTAAATACAAATATTCCATAACCTATTTGCATGACAAAAGATATCAGTCGTTCGTATATTTGGTAAAAATATGGATATCATGTGGTTGTTATAAATAGGGTCGGTTAGAACTGTTGGTCAAGCATTCAGTATCGAAAATTATCTGTTGAACCAATGTCCTTATTTTTAATAGGAATCTTCATTTTCTTGGGCAGACCTCAAATGTTTGATGTAGGTATTCAATAATATAATATTTTGTAATTTTTCTTCATTGGTTAGAAAACGTTAGATAAACGACTTGGTGAGAATTAATTACTTCAGAACATCGGAATATTAATATATTTCTCTGATTTTATTTCGGATAATGGTAAATAAAAATATTCGTCTTGTGACTGATTCTCCTAATATCTCTAACCTGACTAAGGGAATTTGAGTTAACAGTCTCTAGTATCAATGATTAGAATTATTCCTTACATCATAAACATTTATATTGATAAAAGTAACTAGTGAACCTGGCACCTGTTTTCCATCTACTGTAGCAATGTGTAAAAGAAGAATTTATATTTTCACACCTATTGAAAGTTACTTAAAGCACAAAAACTAATTGTTTTATGCAAGAGATCTCTTTCTGGCTGACATAATGGAGTTTTCCTTCCTTTTAAGAACAAAAACATTATTGTTCTTAGTCAATCTGACAGTGGTGTAACTATCTTGTTCCTTGGTTTGACAAAATATGATAGTACTAGGTTTCTCATATAAAAGTTGAAAGCCTGTATTCAGGAGGAAACATTATAGTGTCTCTCATAGAAGTTTCGTTGGAGGAACATTTGTTGTCGCTTGGGCCTTTCAAAGTTTGTGATGTCTTGCTCACATTTCAAGATTCTTTGTATATGGAAATCTAACTTTTTTACTGAAGATAAGATGATGATTTCCGGAGCTCATGTTTCTCGATCTTCTGTCTTCAATGTGAAGATATGATCTTTTGAAGAAGTCATCATTCTGTTCTTTCTACGTTAGTATTTTTATGAGCAATATGGTTTTTGTTTTAAAATACGTAATGAATTGTGACTCCTAATTTTTTGGTGGTCACTGCTCTGGATTCTTTTACTCCACTTGTCACATCTACTCACTAGAACTCCGAAAATTACTTCTCGATGTTAGTCACTAGTGAGCACATGATAATTATTAGTATAGGGTCAAGGAGGTTGTTTAGTTCTTATCGGGATCATGGACTGATACACAGCGCCGAAGAGTCCCATCATAGGACGAAACGATCATCCAGGTTTTCAGTGGTGGTCTGACATTAATAGGTTTGTAATATCAATAAAAATTCAACAATCTCGACAACCATAAACTGGAAATAATCATTCTTTTAATTAAAAAAAATCATTAACCAAAAATAAGTTACTTTTAAACAAGTATGTTGTTGTTTACTGAAAAGTAAAATTTTTTTTAGCCGGTTGTTTTATCTTTGGAAATGTGTTTATTTGAACGGTTTTTTGTTAGTGATTTGATTTTCCTGAGTATTCATCATTGAAGCATATGCAGTTGTAGTTATATTTACAATGTTTAATCTGTAAAAACAAAATATCATTTGAAAACAAGTTGCAGAAATAAGGTGACAGTCTATTTCGAAGACGGTAATTAATCGATTTATTGTTTAAGTATCTTTGCATTTATAAACTAAGCTGATTTTAGAGATAAAATTAAGAGGCATCCTTTACAGGATAAGGAATGGTCGAAGTTATAATAAAGAATATTTTGTTGTGTTTAAAATTATGATTATTATCGTTGAATTGAAGTGTTTCTTTTGTTTGCTGATTTATCTAAACTTCTCAAAAACAGTATGTTCATTATCATGTAAATGAATGAATCAGATGTCAGGATTCAGACAAATTAATGAAACACATCGTTCATTTATAGTTGTGGCGCAGACATATCAATTACATACTTTTTCGAAAATGTATACTTGTACTGGTTTCCCACCCCTTTATTTTAGCCTTAACTGTAAACACTAGACATATAATAATTTATTAGAGGAGCCTATCGTTATTACTGTTTTTATAATCACAAGATAATACATAATGAGTATGTTTGTCTGTATGCTTATGTGTGTATCATGTACATTAAGGCTGTTTGCAGTCAATATTACGATTGAAGCAGTGAGGAATGGCTCTGTACTAAAACAAATCATTCCTTGTCAATAGATGAAGGACTATATATATATTCACTACTTCATGAAGCAGAAAACTCTACATCATCAATTAACAAAAATTAAACCATAGTGTAGTTAATGCAAAGGGATAATATTCTATATGGTAATTGTGTTAATTATGTTGTATTTTGTGTATATTTGTGTACATATATGTAGACCTGTAACATATTGATTTAGGTTTTTCATTAGATAGAAAGTTGATTACTTTATTACAAATATTTGAAAATTTATTCTTTAGAACGTGGTACCGATCGTTATTATTATTAGTGGTAGTAGATTAGCACTATGGCACACTAAAGTTATTAGTTATTCTGTGGTAATATTAACACGGAAAAATTATTGCTCTTCTTATGATAAAACTTAACTGAAGAACTGAGTGACTATAGATCATCTTATTTGAACATTTTAAAGTATATATATAAATTAAAACAAGCATGTACATTGAAGAACTTGCAAACAGCCAATTTTATTCGAAAATGAACGCTTTTTTTATTATAAATTAACTGATTTTACATATCTAATGTAAATACGATTTGTGATCAGTGGGTGTTTATGGTATGTGCTTTATAACCTATAGAGTGCTTAGAATGATTTATACGTTGATTAGCAACATTTCTGACAAAACATTTTAATGAAAAAAGAAATGAAAAACAAGATATATTAACTAAATTTATATTTATTTATCAGGCTAAATCTCCCATATTTGACCCGTCAAATAGAAATATATCAGTCTGGAATCCAATCTGATATCAAGTTATTCAATGCCAATTGAATATAATCAAAAGCTATTATTCTAATAATTTTGTTGTTAGAATGGATATCAAGAAAGGGTACAATTAAATAAAAAAAACTCCTTGTGCGTACTTATCTATAGTTCATTATTGTATCTAACGCATAAGAAATGAATGTATAGTATGATACGTCTTATACAAAATATTACAATCCAATCTACAATTCACACACACACAAACACACAAGAAAAAAAAACAATAATTAGTTAATGATAAAATTACATAAGAAATTATATAATAAAACATTTAGTTTAGAAAAAGAAAACCCATTTCCTATTAATCACGGTGTGATTTATTATTACTTATTAGATTAACTACATTAAATAAAGGTACACTAAAAAAATATATTCCATATTCTTTAATTATTGTATATTATAAATACCAAAATAATAAATAAATAAATAATAAGAAATTTAGAAAGATAAGCTTAAATAAGCATAAAATGAATTAAAATGAAATGATCCTTTTTTTGTACTTTAATTTTATCCTTTTCTCAATGTGGATTGTTTTCTTCTCTTTTTTTTTTTAATACAAGTTCATGACAATTAATAGTTATACTAATCTACCTAAAACAAATAATCACACTATCATATTTGAAATATTTTTTTATTTATATAATTAATTAGTTTAATTTGAGATCTTTTCATTATATAATAAAGAATATTTTATGGTTTATTCTAGTCTTTTGATAAGATTCAACAAGTTAAATATTAACTGGGAATCTTTTTTTTTGTGGTTCTAAACAAGTTCCGTTTATCAGTAGGGGTTTTGTGAAGATTTTAGTCATTTTTATAGTTGAGATCATGAGTCAATTCAAGCTAGATAATCATAGAAAACTTGGAGGCACTGAACGGCTGTTTAGTCCTAGTATGGGACTGCTCAGAAGTGCATATATCCACGATCCTGATTCGAACTGAGGACCTATCAGTCTCGCGCGTGAGCGCCTAACTATTAAACTACTGAGCCAGCCGATATCCAATAGTGTTAATATTTAACTTCAACCAATCCACGAAATTGCGCAACCGTATAGAATTGTCTTCAGTGAGTTGACATCTCACAACAGAACTGGTGGAACTCTACTGGTCCCAGCTCCTCACTAAAACTCATGGAAATGCCTCTTGAATTCAGTCAGTCCAGTGCTTCCAGGTTTTCCATGGTGGTTTAGCTTCAATTGACTCATGATTTCAACTACTGAAGTTCAGTTTAGTTATTAATTTACACATCATTATGTAGAATATGGAACGTATACTCATCAACTAGATATCCGTTTACTGAATTATGAAAACTATTATAGATAGTTTTTTTATGTAGTCTGAAATAAGGAGTGATTTAATCTATTCTATGCAAAATAATGAATTAGAGGAACGTTGAAATACTATTCTTTCACGATTTAATAACTGGATGTTTTTACATGTTACTGAATAGTTATCTGAAATAAATTATTGAAATATATTTCATTTTTATAATAATTTGCTTAAGCATAATTATCTTTTGTTATATTATAGTTGTTGAGGAAGAGCACAGTGGAGGTTCCGACAACAGAGAAGGATACAAGCTCAGTTTTCATACTGGGTCTTATCCAACACAAATGTTTATTGAACTTCAAGAATTGGTACCAAGGGTGGATGGTGGATTGCAGTTCAATGAATCTATTTTTAAAATGCCAGTTGCAGCTCATTTTCGAGTTCTTTGGTTAGAAACAGCAAGATGGGTGAATTTTGAAGAAAATTTTAATGAAGTGGAACAACGTTTTACAGAAGCTCATGTACCACCTATGAAGTTTTCTTGTATAAATAGCTTCAGGGATAAATTACAACAGAGTAAGAAATTAAATGTTAACTTTTTTGTCATATTCTTTATTGTATGTTCCTCAATGACAGGAAAAACATTATCTAATGAAATTAATACAAAAATACATTTCATGAGTTCTGTGGAATATGAAACTTTCATTCCAAATGTGTTTAGATCAAAATGATTAACTTCTTTTCCCTATAAGTGAAGGAAATGAGTTAATAATCAATTATGATTATTGCAGTTTATTTATATTATTCTTTTTCATCAAGATATTCTTTTATTAAGTAGACAGGATATATTTAGATTATTACAATAAATTAAATAATATACTCGTTATATTCCGATGTAAGAAAATTTTAAAGTTATTCAGATAATACGAATATATTAATTTTAATATTTGAGATCATGAATCAATTCAAGCTAGACAATCATGTAAAACCTCGAAGCACTGGACGGCCGTTTCATCCTAGTGTAGGACTGCTCAGCAGTGCACATCCACGATCCCGCCCCCCGCGAGATTCGAACTGAGGATCTATCAGTCTCGCGCGTGAGCGTTTAACCAATAAACCACTGAGCCGGCATCATGATCTCGACTAGTAAAATTAGTTTGATGTCCACAAACCTCCCTCCTGATATTAGTCAACGTATGCTCACTGGTGACGGTCTCCATGAGGTATTTCCTGGAATTCTATTGAGAATCAATGTCCAGTAGAGTTCAACTGGGTCTGTTATGAGATAGTAACTCATTGATGACAATGGTGGATGTGTCACTCAATTTCATGGATTAGTTGAAGTTAGACATTAACACTATTAGATGCCGGTTCAGTGGTCTAGTGGTTAGGCGCTCACGCGCGAGACTGATAGATCCTCAGTTCGAATCTCGCGGGGGGCGGGATCGTGGATGTGCACTGCTGAGCAGTCCTACACTAGGATGAAACGGCCGTCCAGTGCTTCGAGGTTTTACATGATTGTCTAGCTTGAATTAACTTATGATCTCAATTATTTAGATTACTAAGATCTCCCCAAAACCCTTTTTGATACAAATATATTAATTTAATTTTTTTAAATAATCCACACAATGGTTAATTTCTCATTGAAATTATCAGATTATTTTTTTGGAATGATAACTATTTGGAACAGATATTTATTTTATTCTATTTAAACATTAAAGACATCTAAACTATTTACATAACCGCAAAAATATCTATACATTAAGTTTTATTCAGTTCCATTTTATAGAATAAGTATGAAATTTAGTAAGCTTGTGTGTTTTATCATAATTACCTTTTTTAGATTTCTACTAATCATACTCGATGGAAGTAGTTGAATTAATATATATATGAGTACAGTTACTTTATGCGATAGAACTTCAAATGTTGTTTAAAAAAAATAAACCATAGAATTGTTTCTTTTAACTGTCTTGACCAACTCACTTAAAAATCCATATATATTTTATGAGTGTAAATCAAGTATGGATAAATTATTGATTGTCTGTGTATTACAACCAATGGGAGAATAGATTAAAAATTGACATGTGCTCAATCAGACTCAGACAGAAATTTACATAGTGAATTAAGTGCCTAAATTACAGTGAGCAGATAAATAATACAGTAGTTGAATGGGCTTACTACATATCAATATATATATATATATATATATATATATATATATATATATATATATATATATATATATATATATATATATATATATATATGATTGTTGTGAAATAAACTCTTGATTCTAAACGGAATATTTTAACTAGAAGAGTTTTGTTATCAAGTACAGTCTAAATAATGTAATTTTATAAATTTCTTATAAATTTTGTAGATAATTATCGTCGACAAGTGTTTAACCATTGTGTGATAATTAAGCTATGATAATGTTCTACAAAGTTTTTCAGCATATATAATTAAAGGAACTACTATAATAATTAGTTTTCTATTTTATATAAGCAGTCTAGATTTTACATTTCTCTTCTGAATAGCATGAATTATGAACAGATTAACATTTGTGGACAGCTTGTTAAATTGGTTGAAATCAATGATTTAATTAATAAAAATTTAACTGTTTGTTTTCTCTATCATTGGCACACAATATAATAAGCATTCAATTTATTTAACATTCTTTTAATGTTCTGATATATGAAAAAGGTATTGATAGTTATATTTTATAAGAAATAGTCTTAATACTTAGTTATTCTACTATTATACTTTATTTAATACTATTTCAACAAGGTTTTATATACATCTAATAAATGATGCCTTTTTTTGATTTTGTATTTAAATCAACCTTGATCTTAAACTCACTTGGTGTATCTTCCCATTGTTATTTAGGACTGCAATTGATTAGTCTCAAGTAAAACAACACCAAGGAAATTTAAACTTCACTTCATTGTACAAGCAGGTGGCTATCAGAACTCAGTAGCTAAGTGAATAACGCGATGACGTTTGAAGCAAACGGTACTGGGTTTGAGTCCCAGAGTGAACATCAACTCTGACATGCAAGTACATTCAGTTGATGAGTCCCAAATAGGACGAAACGTGCTTCCTGGATTCCACTGCTAGCCACTATCCATCTTTGTTTAAAAACCTTGATCTTAGTTTTTTTATAATCCTTCCTTGATTCATTATTTTATACTATATGGTGATATATAAAAAGAAGTTAGAAATATATAGCTGATAAGTTTAATTTACTCCAAGAATATATTGTTCTTTTGTTGTTCTTGTTGTTGTTGTTGTTGCATAAACTAACAATCGATACGTATATATATTTGTTGAGTTGTATAGTTGTTATCAATCATGAAGATTTGTTCATATGAAGGAGAAGAACAAAAAACAAACTACGTAACAGTGATTTCAATGATAAAAATAACACTAAATTTAATGTTTGCTGTATGATATAGTTGCCGTTTTTTTAAAATTGTTTATAATGAGTAACATTTTATTATTTAAGTGTCTTTGACATCTTGTGAATTAATTAGTTTAATTGATTTTTGACTCATTCCATTACACATAGAAAAAAAAAAACATTTCTAGAGTAATATTTTGTCAGATGACTCTCTCTGTGTTTTTCTTTTTCTTTTTTTAAAATGTTTTTCATAAGTAGTCACTTGATAACGTTGATTTGATTTTGTCGAAGATAACAGAATGTTTGTACAAAACATTGGAATGAATATTATTGAAATTTGTTATTCTTAATGTGAATAATTTATCAGAAATAAATAATTCATATCAATCGATAACGTGGTGTTACTGTAGATTTTCTAAGTGTGAAAATTAATAGTGTTTTTGAGAGACTAATAACAACAGAGTTGTTGTTCGATCCCAGTGTACGATTATGTGAATGTGTATTTTGATATTTCTTTACTATTAAGTAGAAATTAGTATGGAAGGTTAATAATAACACTGAATAATAATATTCAATGTCTTTAATGAAATCATTGAAAATCTAATTCGTGGATTGTTACTTGTTCGCTGAAATTATATACAAATCTACTGACATTAGATGGTAGTTTTGATGCATCGATAACTATTGTAAGTTGGAAATAAGGGTTAGTGAGTTCCGACTTGGTGGTTTTGTTGTTCTATTAGACTGACAGTAATTTCATTTTATCTAAAATTAAACATGTTTTTGTTCAGATATAGTTTAAAACTAATTTTTGTATGATGTTCTGATATCATGCTTTATTATTTGTAGGACTTGATACCACTAAAAATCAGAACCATATGTATGAATTTATTCACCATAGAAATATTTAGTTTTGTGTTATCAAGTTTTATTAGGTAATTCATATTAAGTGGTGGTTTCGTATTTATTGCACTTTAAAGAAATGGCAGTGAAATGACAGTGGTCTCTTATGGAACTTTGAAGTTCACGTACGATAAACTTTTTCTTTTCCTGTTACTAAAATGTCATATTAACATGATATTCCATCTACACATATCGTATTTTAAAAATCTTCATTAGCCAATATTTGTTAAGGTTACTAAGATATCCTGGATAATGTTTACGTTTTATAGATTTTTATAGCTACGGTCATCTGGATTACATTAATTTATTTAGTATTTGACAAAGTAGTGTAGTGATGATCATGAAAAATATTTTTAATGCATTAGTTGGCATTTCAGTGCCACTTATTTGAACTAAGAGCAAATAACACCGAAATATAAGGAAACAATATTTTCAGACATTTGACTAAACATATTTATATTATGCTTTTAATTATACAATGAATGAACAAAAACGTCATTGGCAATGATGGGATTACCAATTTATAGATTGAATTAGCCCCAATATTTTGTAGAAATAACTAACTCCTTATTATAATATATATCCTTCTAATTGATTATCGTTATTATGCACGTAAAAAGCTCTTAAACGTTATTTGAATGAAAAAAATAATCTCAAATTCTTTGTATATTTCATCATATATTCACTAGTGAGTAGCTTGGAGAGAACATTCCTGGAGTTTTAGTGAGAAGCCGTGATCAGTAGAGTACAACCGTGTGAGGCAGACACACACAAAAAACAATGGAAGATGGTTGTGCAATGTTGTGTATTGATTGAAATTAGACACTGACACCGTTGGATGTCAATGGTCTAGAGGTTAAGCAATGGTGCGCGGGACCAAAGTCCATGGGTTCGATTCTCGCATTCGGGATCTTAAATGAGCACTTCTGGAAGGTTCTATATTAGAATGAATTTACTATTCAGTGCTCTCAAATTTTCAATGGTGGTCTAACATTGATTGGTGTATGATTAAAATTTCTAGATATCACAAAAAGAGTATTATGTGTTCAATTCAAAAGGACTTCAGTGATTACATTATGAATAAATCACATTCTTTATTTCAATGTACTGATTGATAAATGACCAATTTTATCGGTTAATTGTAAATTCAAATGAATTTTGTCGTGTATGTGAAATTAAACAAAAATAAATCGGTTAGTAAAACTGATTACGATAATTTAGCAGTTAATTTAGTTACTGGGGTCCCATTAACAGTAGTTACTGATTTAAAATTCGATATTTATCTACTATTCTAAATAGATTTATTCGATGCCAATATTTATTTCCTGATCCACTGATTTTTACGGTCATACTATTAAATAAATTATCCTTCTGAAAACCTTATTTAATCCATATATCATTGAAATTATATTCGTTATAAATTGCTATCATTTTATTGAATAGATCATCCCTGTTTAATTTATGATAGTTTTATGAACTAGGCCAACTGTGACACAAACTAACATGATTGTTGTATCATTAGTAGTTTGTTTAGTTAAGAAAGAAAAAAACAAAAACGAATTTCTATATATATATATATATATATATATATATATATATATATATATATATATATATATATATCACAAGACATGATGATGTGAATTAAAAGAAAGAAATTAATTTATACAGTTTTATTTTTCAATCGTTCTACTTGGTTATTTATGCTTAATGCTCTTTTGCTTTTTAAAAAAACATAATGAATAGTTGATTAAGTGGAACGTTATCATAGATAAATAGATATTAAAGTGTATGAATTTCTTATTATGTCATCATCATCATCATTATTCATCATTTACAATCAGTTTTAGATTAATAGTTTCTTCATGTTGATTTATGCAATTGTAAATTCATTAAGGACAATTTCATTTTATTAGAATATTAATATGATTTTATTCACTTTATGGATATTTATCTTTAATTTAAAACAAAAGATATTAATTCATTCAAAATATTCATGTTTAGTCATATAGTTTTCTTTGTGAAACCTAATAAAATAATTTTTACTTAACTGAATTGAATGAGATGGGATGGATTTTTAGACTTGATCACTGAAATTTAAGTGTTTCAACCGCCCTCAAATGCCCTGGTACAGCCAAGAGTGGGGGCATTCCGCTCACCCTCTCGAAATGCTCTCACATGGCCACGCGTATATAGCCTCTGTCAAGGAAGTCCTGCTCACTGACTTCTCGTGGCGAGGGTGTTGTTTACGAAAATGAGAGAACGAAAAGTGAATGTCTGGCTCTTTAACCGGATTACAAACCAATGGTGCACATGGGCTCCAGTATCATGAAGCAAAAAATGGCGTATGAATCCATTGTTGGTCACCAGTTGCCATGGGACTGCCTCTTCTTACGATGCTCCATTGCCTTGTGGATCAGTCCTTCAGGTCGAAGGTTTGGAGAGTGCCCCCCTAAGAAAACTACCTGCTTCGGTTTGGGCACCTGGGCAGTATCACAGCTCTCACACATATCGAATGAGATTTGTGTGGCGCATATGTATTTGGTGCGTCCTTATACCAATATCTATGTTTTGAAATAAATAAATAAATAATAAATAAAGTGTTTCAACCACTGAACCATTAATTATATTAGAAGCTAGTTGTATACAGTTTGCATTTGATGAATAATAAAATATGGTACTAGGCTAAACTTAATTTTTATTATATATTTTTATTTAAAACGGTGACAGAAACAATTGAGTAAGCACCAGTAAAATTTGAGTTTCAACTTTTGCCTTATGTACGATTCGTCAGATGGATGCAACATTGAACTATCTTTGATGTTAACAATGATAGCTGAACTCCATATCTGTCGTTTAAAGCTTTAAAGGGGTATTCATTGGCTTATTGAGTGAAAAGAGCCTGTAATTTATTCAATGATCTCGTATGCATGAGATTCTTAATCTTATTAACGGAAACAGATCTTATACTGTTTATGAAGCAATTTAAAAAATCTCTTTCTTGTTGAGATTTTATTGTTTTTAATCCAAAATCCAATGTTATTCCATAGTTGCAAAAGTAAGATGGATGTTATAAGTGAATGTTCTAAGGAGAAACTTACTAAATAGTCTTGTTGTTCAAAAAACAAGTTTGGCTTCGAAAGTGTTGAAATATTGAAAAGTGGTGACACAGAGAAGACCTGAAAATTCCTTGAATTTTTGTATGCAGTTTATTCAAGGCTTATAACACCTAGTCTATCAACCAATCACGAAAATTATTAACAGTCATAAGTTTATGAATCGAGTCAGTGAGCTGGATAGCCACTATTAATATGAGGACAATAATAACACATTTGTTGTTAAAAACCTGTTCAACTGAATTTGAATTAAACCAGTTCTGAAAAAAATTTGAAAGCTCACTTCTAATTGATTCCGAGCTATCCCCTGTATTTCGTGTTTCCCCTCAGATGTCGAGGTCTTCATGACCCAGTCAACACGAGATGAAAGAGAAATGGGGGGAGTAAGCAGCCTTGTTTGACTTCAGTCCTCACTTTGGAAAGCGTCCATCAGCTGTCCTCCATGCAGCACTTTGTATTTTGTATAGGGTATTTTTTATTATGAATTGATTTTAATTACGGTACCATATGTTTTTGGATGAATTAATGGTTAACATTAATCACAAACATAACTAAAATACCGTACTTAAATCTGATAATTTATGTCTGTTTCTCATGTAATGGAAGATAAAATCTAACTAAGAAAATACACCATCTAATAAATATGGTAACAAATATGATAACTAAAACGCACTTTTTTGATCTATGTCTCAATTGTTATCCTTACATTTGTTGAATATTTCGGTCTTCTAGGAAAGCTGTTGGTTGATATTAGATGTTGGTTGGAGGTAGTCGACAGGAAACCCTGGATCCGGGTTTCGTGCTATTTGACACTTGTCAGCAAGGTGTACCTGTAATCTTGAGGGGACTGGTGTTCCCTGACCGATTCGATCCCTCAAGTTTACAGGCACACCTTGCTGACGAATGCCAAGTAGCATGAATCCCAGGTCCAGTGTGTCCTGTCGAATACCTCTAACCACCATCTAATCTCAACATAGTGCACGCGATGTCGAGTCGCCTAGACTAGTGGCCACATTGCAACTCGATCGATAGCATTCGATCTGCACTATTAAGGACTTGGCACACATGACACTGATCACCATCAAGTGATCAATCAATTTTGACTGTTGGTTGATGTTTAGTGAAAATGAAAATTTAATTAAAACAAATTTTCTATGTGAAAGTAATATCGATATTATGATTATTGTCAAAGCACTTTTCACACATGTATATACCACTATATTTGTGAAATTGAAAATTTATACTAGACTATTCAATTTTTTTAAAAATGAACGCGTTCCTTGGTCGCATTGAACGACGGTTTATTTTTACTGATCTGATACTAAATCCTTTCAAATTCTAAACTTTAGTATAAGACGTAAACACTTTAATCCTCTATTGAAATCATATGAAAATGTATTGTTGAGGTTTGTGAAAATGTCATTTATATTAGTGTTAATTTTCATCTAACCACTTTTATCTCCCTGAGTATCGTTAATATGAAAGTTTTCGATTTAGTATGCAACAGGGAAAGTGTTTAACTCAACACTTGTTAAGTATTGTTCTTAATTTGTTATCTATACAGCTCCGTGATATCTTTCCTAGAAATTTTGAAGAAGTATGCTGTGTTGCGTAGACCATTATTGGTAATTAGTAGTAAGCAGTGAGTATTTTTACGTCATAATAAATGTGGTCGGGAACAGACATTTGAAAATCTTGGAAAAAGCTCAGGATACTTATTTTGTCGAACACAAATGAGCAACTTCGTCCACATCGTTTTTCTTATTTAACTCCCGGCAGAACGAGAGGGAGATTCATTAAAACTAATGCACGAGAAAAATCACAAACGTTCTACAGTAATTCTTGCCCTTGGGAACATACATATATATATATTCTATATTGTATTAAACAGATAATAATGTGATTGTTATTACTTTTATTATTGTTATCTAATAAAAGGTAATTTATCATGATTATAATTTCATATATTTGGATCGTATGGTCAATTTACCCCAACAAGGGACAATATCAATTGAATTTGATAAGACGGTTGTCGATGATACAGATAACTTTATTAAACCTCAGCTTCCTTAGGAATATCATAAATTGCTCATTAATTTTTTAGAAATAAAATGAGTGCATTTATACTTGTGGTAGTTAACATATAGGGATGACTAAAATAAATATCATTAGCAACAGCCTGCTGCGGCACAGAACAAGCCACTTTCTAGCTGAAGAGGAAGTTAAGAAATTACATAAATTGCGGAAATCACCAAACTGCATCACGAGGCAAGCATCAACTCGGAATTATGAAAGGAAAAAGGGAAGAGGAAGGACAAGGAACACGTTGCATCGGTAATTGGAAGCAGACATAAAAAAGAATAACAACTGCAAAAGAGAGCCCAAGATAGAGTTGGATGAAGAATCCTTGTGTGTAGCCTATGCTCCTCCACGAGAGGTAACAGGTGTAAGTAAAATAAAGTTTTCTTTTTAACCGATTCTTCTAAATGTATGGATGATTTTGTGGGAGGGTTATAAATTGTCATTGGCAAGTTCATTTAAAGTTTGCATTACTTCATTATAAACTTCATTTTTTCCCTTAATTTTCATTTAAATTAGATTTGAAAATTATACAAACTGATGCACTTACACTTGGTCAAGCCCTTGATGAAGTGGCAAAATATGCTTTATCACAAAACTGTATTCAAGGAAATGAACAATATGATGTTTTACGTGCTATTTTATTTGCTGAACGTTGGCATCCAGAAGTTAAAGGTCATATATCTGATGCGGCTGAATTCGATCAGTATTGGGCAGGTAATTAAAAAACACTCTTTTCAAATTATTTGATTCAGTGTTTTGTAAACATCATATCTGACCAAAGAAGTATTCATAGTTGAAAAAGTCTATAATAAATATTGTAAGCAGCTTTAAAGCATAAAATATTATCCCACAGATTTTTAAAAGTATATCTGCATTTAAGTTTTTTTTAAACGATGTGATGACATATAAAAATAGGCTGACAAGTGTTACGTAACAGGTTGTTCGTAGTGATGAAACGATGAGGAATATATCGTGGATTATAAAAGAGAAAAATATAGTTTAGTTTTATATTAAACTAAGTAGACTTGCACTGTAATATTTTTCTTCACATAATAAATTACATTTTGTATTGAAATTAGTGTTCAAAGGACCAAATCACTTGTAATCTACAGGCTAATTGATAATATTCTCAGCTGTTTGATTCCTTTTTATCAAAAAGAAGAACGAATATAATACAGATTTTTTCATTAATTCAATTATTGTTAATCGTTTACTCGGGAGATCCGTTGAAATTTAGAATCTTCAACTATTATGGTAGTTGAATGTGTATTTTAGATTATAAACTAGTGACCATTGTAAAGCTTACAGGAATCTGTCCAAAATGTGTCATCAATCAATGAATTCATTGACTTTTGACTTGTGAAGAGTGAGACAAGGAGAATAATTCCTGGTATAGATTTGCATAATAATTGTTCAAAACTGTTAAAGGATTTTAAGTAATCAGATTGTAATTTTTGTCAATGGCGTTAATGAATTTATTCCTTCAAGTTGATTTAACCTTACTTTATATCATGGAATATAACACATTTTAACAATTAACTAAAAATGGTGTTACTCATGAGGGACATTTGAGCTTATCAGTAATAAGTAGCGTAATCGATCAATGAATATTACTTTTTAAAGTAGTGGTTACTGGATTTTATTAATTTTCAAAAACGAAAAAATAACATACATTAACGAAAAGCCCATGCTATGAAGAAACTATTTAAATTTGAAATGTAACAGTGCTATGTCATAGACATAAATTTAGTCTATAGTTTTAGACATATATATGTGATAGGTAGTTTTATTGTCATGATGTGATGACATATGTTAAGACAAGTACAAAATACAAAAACTCTTGATCTTCTAAATCAAATAAAACTTAAAGATTATGTTGAACGACTTTGTAAACAAAGCTTCGCTTTTTGAACACTCATTTCAGTTTACTTTTAACTTATATATATATATATATATGAAGTATTAAGAGATTGTTTTTTTTTACGTTTAAGGAACTTTACCGGAAGGTATCAATCCTGTAAGTTACAGTACACAACTAATGTTTCTGTGTTGTTTATTTAAAAGTATTTCTAATGAGTATTTAATAATGGTATCGACATTACTATCATTATAATTATTGAATTGTCATATGTACTCTGCAAAACTGAATGGTATCATATTTTATTCACTTTGTTTTAATTTGAATGTACTATATCTAGATAGATTAGTTTACTCAATCAGAAAATTCTGTGAATAAATTTTGCTCGAAATCATAATTAAAGGTTTAATAGTAATTAATGTTTAGTGAATTAAAGGACTTATATAGATAGAGCTGGTAACACTTTGAGAAACATTAAACACTTCAAACAGATGAATAACTATTACATTGAGATATGAAAATCATTATTAATGTGCACTTGAAAATCCATGGATACTTGAACCTGAAAACCTTATATTTCACATTATCTTTCAGACCATCAACTTGACATCAAATGTGTTTTGATCCTTAGCTTCGTTTATTTAACAGTGATTGTTTATCTAAATTTATTTAGTAATGTAAAACCACTCTAACCAACTATGATAACTTTTTTAAAGTTTATAGTTAACTGCTACATTCACTAAATGAAATGTTATAAGTTTCAGAAAATGAAAAGCTTCTTTGGCTTCATGGTATTTCCTTAAAAAAAAAAGAAATGTAAAACATTTTCTTATATTTATCACGTATATGACTGTTTTCATAAAACTAGGCTTATGAAAATGACGAAGGAAAATGGACTTTTAAAAACTTTCAAAGTAAATTGGTAAGTAAAAGACAAGTAGACAAGCAAAAAAAACAGGATGACAAAATTATAAAATGTCTATTACTGATAATATACACATTGCTTAAATTAATTATAGCACTAATTCTCTATATTACTAGAACTTCTTTATCCTACACTTCATGTATGTACTTTTTTTATCCATTTCGGCTTTTATAAATTCACTTTTTTTCTATAAGTAGCCATAGAATCGTGTTTATTCAAACGCTTGCTTTGTATTTAATTTTGACAAATGTGATTGAGCAAAAGACAAGAAAACCTCTCTTTCTTCACTTTTTGTTTAATAAAACCACCATTGTTTTCTATGATTTAAACAAATAATCAAGATTGCTAACAAAATGCTTTCCGCTTCATGTTATTTGTGTAGGTTTCTTTATGCTTAGCTTACTGCTTGATAACTTTTATTTATATATTATTTTTCGATAGTTCGATCTCATATAACTTTTTTCCGAAGGTGTTCAGTATGAAACGAAACCAACGTACTTCAGATCATTTGTGAATGGCTAAACGTTTCAAAATTTTATTATTGGTTGTACAGATAAGTAGAAGTGGGACTCGTCAACTCAATGTACCTGCATCCCATAGTTGTTCACTCCGCGATTCGAACCCAGTACCGTTCGCCTCAATTGCAGTCTCGAACATCAGTGGGAAGATTCAAGTAAACAGTAGCAAGTGAATTTAAACTTCACTCCATTACACAAGCAAGCGGCTATCAGGACTCAGTAGCTAAGTGAATAACGCGCTGGTGTTTGAAGAGAATGTTACTGGGTCGAAGTCCCAGAGTGAACATCAACCCTTAGATGCAAGTACAATCAGCTGACGAGTCCCAAATAGGACGAAACGCGCTTTATGGATCCCACTGCTAGCCGTTATCCATCTTTGCTTTAAGTATAAATGGGGTTTTTAAAATTATCTAACCTCAATTTTGAACTTTAGCAAGTAACTGTTATTAAAATTCTTGCTTATAAAGTCTTTTATACACTTGTTTTTAAAGTTATTCTTCGTGATTGCAATCACTTAAGTATAGTTATCATTCTAAATATACAGATTTTAGGATTGTTTTACATTGGAATGAAGTGTTATTTTGAGTATAGAATCAATTCTTTTCCCTAAATCTTCATTGTTTCAAAGTTAGAGTAATATTCTTGAACCATGTAGTTAGATGATCAATTCACTGAGTTGGGCAATTTGAACAATGTTTAGTAAAATCAGTTAATTTTTTTGTTTGTTGATAACTTCTGATGCTTACAATTATATTTATGAATAAAGAATGTAATTTATTTTGGTTCTTCAGGTAGTTATACATGTGACTGAACTATAAATAACGAAAATTTACTGTAATTTACAAGTATTAATGCTTGTAAATGAAAATGACTATAATCAATAGTTAACAGTTCTTTATATTTTATTAAAGATGTTTTGCCCGAATTTTTAGTAGTATCATTAAGATTGTGGGTTTGCAGTAATTTTCAAGCTAAATCTATAGAAATGTTTTTTTCAATATTGTCATTTACTTTAATAGTAAAATTGTATTTATAATTATCTTACACAGAATGATCTACTTTAAAATAGAAAACGTTAGCGTTATTGACAAATACACCAAAATTTAACCTGAAATTTCGGGTGTCGAATGACGTTATTACATTATCCAAAGAAACCAAGAATGAAAACAAGATGTAGAAGAGAGATATCAAACGTGATTATTTACTTCAGTATAAACCAGACCAAGGAAAAAGCAATAATATGCCCAGAATGACTTCATGATAGAATGCTAATGCTAGGATTGTGAATAAATAGGGATTTGGACAAACAATTTTTGAACATCACTACCAGGCTTAGACTGATGAACTCCCATAATCTCTGCTATAAATACATTTCTCATCCAACTTTATTTTAAACTAGTTCGTTTAACTTTATATACTACCACCAGTGAATTAACTACTTCTATGAATTCGGTGTTCATCTCGTTGTGTTAATGAGGTATGATCCTACGTTGTAGCTGACTGACTGACTTAAGGATAAAGATTCTGGTGAAAATAAATTACCGAAATCGATTAGTTGTTTTATACTAGAACTATTCCTTGATTTACATTCATCTATAGATGACCATGTTTTATAACATTCGCGAATACATTTGAAATGATCACAATATATAGGGACAATATATCTTGACTGAATCGTTTACAACATAAATTTATCCACCATTACAATATTCTGATTACCTCAAGTATCTTTATTAACGACTAAACAATTTTCTTTCTGAGTATGAACTATTATACATAAAATAAGGATAAAAAAGATTTTTCGCCTTTAGAACGTAATATCAACGAAAACAAAGCTTCTTTTAGGTAATTTTTATTGTACCTCCTACAAATAATGTTAAAATGGTTCAGGGAAAAAATATTCATTTTACAAAGTTCGAATTACTTGTTTATTGTTATTTCTACATTTTTTTCGTGTACAGGAATCTGCTCGATCATCCATTTCTTCATTAACATTTGAAGTTAAGGTTTGTACAGCTTCTCTTTTTAAAAAAAAACAATTGAGTAAAGAAAATAGCAAGAATCCAATTTATTGCATAATTCATTCATTTAATTTTTCACAACTAGTTTTACTAGTTCATTTAATCGATGTTCTTTTCTGAAATGATCCAATTGATATTCTTTAGTAGTTTTGCTTATTCAATTCATACTAATTCAGATTCAATCTAAACTCAACCATTTATTTCATAATTATTTTTGTTGTTGTTGGAAATTCATCATTTGATTCATACACATTCATTGTTAGTGCACTTAAATAATTTTATTGGTCTGATTTTCTTAGGTACTTGAATTCAGTTTGACTGCAATTATGTATATTTAAATAATTGTATTAAAGAACTAATAGATTACAGCTTATCGTTTAATACTTGTTTAGTTTTGGTAATAAGATTCATATTTATTATTAAAGCGATCTTTACAGATTCAGTTTATCAACTTAAGTATAAGTTCAGATGTAGCTAAGAAAGGATTCAATTTTCTTTTGTTCTTTTGTAGAATAATTTTCTCTTTCAAAGTTACAGAATTAAGGAAAAAATTACTATTTCGCACTTATTTGATTTATATTTCATCTCCATAATCATGATGTCATTGCGATTTTTCACACGCCTTGCGGTTGTAGCTTTGTGTGCTCTCAGTTAAGAAGTTTGGGTCATTATTCTTGATTTTGTTTACAATCATTGGATTCTAGGCTCGAATCCCGAAAAACGTCTTTTGAAATTGGTAAACAGTTAGCATAGCCAACCTTCCAGAATGATTTATGACTCTAAGATCGTTTTCAAACCTGCACTAAATTAAAACTTGTCATAATCTGTAAAGTCATTGTGCATCACATTGAGACGTGTTTGCAGGTCCGGAATGCCTGGTTGAAGCCTGAGCGATTCTCACAACCTATGGTTGAAGACTTGAAAAGACATGATATAGAATAGGTCCTAGTAGTTTATATGAATTCGCTTTAAGTCTTCCGTCGAATCTTCAGTTTTTAAGAATTATATTGAGCATTTTACTCCACATATTCATTCTTTCTCCACGAATCATATTGCCTGTGCCCACCATTTTCTGCTCTCACTGATGCTGTTACTACCTCTTCTACTCTGGTATTTGTTTTGGTAACTTTACCACACTGTAATGTGATGGTGTAGGAACTTGGGAACATACATATACGTCCCATGTTTTACGTTATGTATGGCTGACTTACTAGGTAAATGAATTGTCACAGACGACCATTTGTAGCGAACTACGTTTTCTCGTGATAATGATATTTAATACTACTTTTACTTAGATAACGAGTTGCATATGTTTGACAAAAATGGCGTATTCTTCCCAATTTAACAGTGTCGCGATGTATCAGTGTTGAGTCGTAATCTTTTAAACTATTTGACAAAATTCGTTTCCAATATTCACCGTCTGTTACCGTCACTATAACGTTTTGGTTTGTCGTGACATATTTAGGTGTTATTCGCCAATGTGATTCAAAATTATCAGGGAAAAATAAAGACTTGTTTTTTTCTGTTGTCAAGACGGTTATTTAGCTTAATAAACACAATAATCGTTTCATTCAATAATATGTGTTTTTGAAAGTTTTATATTCTCTGTGTTAATTGATTTAATTAAGAAGGCATTGATTGTCTTTCTAGATGGCGAAGAATAGATTTGACATAGCTGGAGATCACTAGCAAACCATGTATAAGCATTATTATTTGTATTTTTCCATGTTTTGGACTACCCACAAAGTCCTAGGTTATATGTTACTAATTTGAGTATTCTCTTCAAAGTTTTAAACGGATTAACCATTGTTGTTTGTTAACAGCTTAGGCCACTATTTTCTAAAATCAATAATGTCCTCATACATTTGATTATTACCGGAAACTCACGTGTGCACCTAAATGTTAAACACTTTTTTCTCGCAACATGTTGTACACAACGACAAAGCATAATGTTTGAAAATATTATACTCAATATTTATTCAGTTATCATTATTTTAACTTACTCTCACTGCCCCGTGACTTGAAATTCATTATTTCTATATGTATTTGATTCTTCTTGAATTAATAGTTTCAATGTAAAAAATAAATAAAGTGATAATGCAGTATCACACTTATCAGCAGTACATAAAAGGTTCAAGTTCAAACTAGCTTGACCAAATTAAAGTTTCACCCTACAGCTTAAGCAAAATACATGATTAACCTACGAAATAATTTTTATTGTTCTTAATTTTAAGCTTGATACCGATTTGGAAAACCAGATTTATTAGTTTTCATGACCTTGCTTTAAAAATTACATTTTAGCAACATGTTAAAATTTGATACTATCATCTTCATTCTTTGGAATTATACTATGGGCAACTTGCTTATTGTTTTCTTCTGCATCATCTTAATTCTACTAATAAGTGCAAGTTGTCTTATCTTCATGCATATGGTGTGTTCAAATCAACAAATTTAGACTCATATTGACCAATTAAGTTTTAACCGGAATATACCAATCGAAACATAAAATAAGAAAGATTGATTCAGCGAATTGACTGAAAACTAAGTAGTGTCCTTAGATCACATCAATTCTTCGGTAGTATCAACCATTTGCTAAAAGAGGACTTTTAGTATCGTATTCGGAAATTTTAACAAACACAAAATAGAATTTTCCGCATTAAAAATTCATCTACTCAACTTTCTTACAAAGAACTATTATGAGGATAGCTTAATGTACATACCATACTGATTCTGACTTCATGTAGAATAATCTTGTCTACCACACTTATACCAGCCCTCATGAGATACACAGGTATATAAATTTGCTATAGTTTCAATTTTGGAAACAATAAATCATTAAATCTGGAGATGATTACTAAGCTTTAATTTAGGACATCAGACACTACAGATTAGATCGACAGCTATGACTTTGGTCAAGGTGAATTAATATCTTAGCATAGAGACTTAATTACTTACTTACTCTTGTTATTCCTCGTGGAGGAGCATAGGCCGCTCACCAGCATTCTCCATCCAACCCTGTCCTGGGCGATCCTTTCTAGCTCCTTCCAGTTCTTATTCATCCTTTTCATATCTGATTCTATTTCCCGATGTAATGTGTTCTTTGGCCTTCCTCTTTTTCGCTTCCCTTCAGGATTTCAAGTTAGGGCTTGCCTCGTGATGTAGTTTGATGATTTGAGTAATGTATGTCCTATCCATTTCCATCGTCTTTTCCTAATTTCTTCTTCAGCTGGAAGTTGGTTTGTTCTCTCCCACAAAAGGCTGTTGCTGATGGTATCCGGCCAATGGATGTTGAGTATCTTGCGTAGACAGCTATTTATAAATACTTGTACTTTCTTGATTGTGGTTGTTGTAGTTCTCCAAGTTTCAGCTCCATACAGTAGAACTGCCTTGACGTTCGTACTGAAGATTCTCATTTTGATATTGGTCGACAAACATTTGTTTTGAGTTCCATATGTTCTTCAGTTGTAGGAATATGGCCCTTCCTTTGTCAATCCCCGTCTTTACGTCTGCATCGGATCCTCCTTGTTCATCGATAATGCTACCCAGGCATGTGAAACAATCTACATCTCCCAGAGTTTCGCCATCAAGTGTGATTGTGTTGTTTGGTGTTCTCCGTGTTGTGTTTGAGGATCTTAGTATTTCGTGTGTATTTTGAGGCCTACTGATGCAGAGACTGCTGCTACACTGGCTGTCTTCATCTGCATTTGTTCATGTGTATGCGATATGAGGGCTAGGTCATCTGCGAAGTCCATTGTATTCTGCGTTTTCCCTCAAATGTCGAGGTCTTCATAGTCCAGTCAACCACTAGAAGAAAGAGGAAGGGAGAGAGTAGACAGCCTTGTCTGTCTCCGGTCCTTATTTAGAATGCGTCTGTCAGCTTCCCTCCATGCACGACCTTGCACTGTAGTCCGTCGTATGAGTTCCGGATAATGTTGACAATCTTCTCAGGAACTCCACTGTGTCGAAGAAGTTTCCATAATGTCCTCCTATCCACACTGTCAAATACCTTTTCATAATCAGTGAAGTTGATGTACAGTGTTGAGTTCCACTCAATTGATTGTTCAACGATGATCCGTAATGTGGTCTGTGCACGACTGATCCTTACGGAATCCAGCTTGTTGATCTCGACAATGGGCGTCTACTGCGTCTTTCATCCGGTTCAGCAACACTCTGTTAAAGACCTTCCCTGGTATTGACAGTAGTGTAATGCCTCTGTAGTTTGCACATTTGCTCAGGTCTCCATTCTTTGGAATCTTGATGAGGTGTCCTTCTTTCCAGTCCATCGGCACTTGTTCCTCCTCCCAAATCTTTTTGAATAGAAGGTGAAGCATGTTTGTAGTTACTTCGATGTCTGACTTCAGTGCTTCAGCTGGTATGTTGTCGGGTCCTGCTGCTTTCCCGCTCTTGGTTTGTCTGATGGCCAACCTGATTTCTTTCGTAGTTGGTGGATTGACATCTATAGGAAGATCTGTGTATGATGCTTCGATGTCCGGTGGATTCGTTGGGGCCGGTCTATTCAGGAGTTCCTCGAAGTATTCTACCAATCTGTTCAGCTGTTCTTGAATTTCAGTGATTGGCCTGCCTTCTCTTTCTTTGACCGGTCACTCTGGTTTACTGTATTTCCCTGATAGTTTCTTCGTTGTATCGTAAAGCTGTTTTATATTTCCTTCTCTTGCAGCTTTTTCTGCTGTCGTTGCTAGTTCTTTCACGTATTTCTGCTTGTCGGCTCTGATACTCTTCTTCACTTGCTAATTTGCTTCTATTTAATCAGCTTGTGCTTCGACTTTCTCTGCTCGTGTTCGGCTGTTGTTAATTGCTGTCTTCTTGCTCGTCCTTTCTTTGATCTTGTTCAGTGTTTCTATAGAGATCCATTCCTTATGATGATGCTTCTTGAGGCTCAGAACCTCTTGACACGTTAAAGTTAATGATTCTTTGATACTTTTCCAGTTGTCCTCCATAGTATTTTATTCTTCCTTCAGTAGATCCCGTAAGGCTTGGAACCTGTTGTTGAGAGCTATCTTGAATTCGTTGAGTCTGTCAGTATCTCAAAGGAAGGCTGTATTGAAACTTTGTAGTGCTGTTTGTCCAGTTGTCCAGTTCTTCTTTAGCTTCAGTTTTAAATTTATCACAACTAGGTGATGATCTGAAGCTATATCAGCACCTCTCCTGGTTCTCACATCTTCCACTGTCCATCGGAATTTTTTATTGATGCAACTATGATCTATCTGGTTCTCTGTAGTGTGGTCCGGTGAGATCCATGTACCCTTGTATATACGCTTGAGTGGAAATATTGTGCCGCCCATGACCAATTTGTTGAATGCACACAGATTTGAAAATCTTTCTCCATTTTCGTTTCTCTCGCCCAGTCAATGCATGTCGTCCCATGATATCTTCATATCCAGTGTTGTCTATTCCGCCTTAGGCATTTAGATCTCTTATCAGGATGGTGAGGTCCTTTCTTGAGCACTTCTCCATGATTGACTTCAGCCGCTCGTAGAATTGATCTTTAATATCGTCGTTGCTATCATTGGTGGGTGCATAACATTGGATAATATTCATTGTGATCCCCTCTTTCTTTGTTTTGAATGATGCTTTGATGATTGTGGATCCGTGAGATTCCCATCCTACAAGTGCATTACGTGCTACTTTGGACAGCATCAGAGCGAATCCGTGAGTGTATGGAGCACTTTTCTCTTTGTGACCTGAGTATAGTTGCATCTCTCCCGTATTTATCTTTTGTTGTCCAGCTTGGGTCCAATAGGTTTCGCTGATTCCCAGTACTGCCAATTTGTATCTCTTCATTTCCGTTGCTATTTGACTGGTCTTCCCAGTCTCCCACATTGTTCCGACGTTCCATGTACCTATTAAAATTGTTGCTCTAGTTGTTAGAAGGGGCATCGGCCTCGTGGCTTCCGAAGGAAGTCGGCTTTCACCATGAAGCGTCATAATTCTTCTAAATGAAGAGTTTAAACGGTTTGAATTATTTTTTCTGGTAAGCGTTTTTTGATCCGGGCTTGGCACCGGCAGTAACTCTAGAAGAGCTACAGGCGGAGTTTTAGCATACGGAACTTAGAATTATTTGCAAAGTTCGCTAATCGCTAAACCTAAACTGTGTATCAGACTTTGACTAGTGGAATCCCTATAGATGTAGTTGAATTTGTCTAACAACCACAGTCACATTCCTGTGAATTATTTTAAAATCTGCTTTGTTAATAGTAGGAATTTATTATTATGATTCCATATTCATTACTTTTAAAATTTTCTCTTTGAGTTGATCTATATTTCTGTAAATATTCTAGATTGGTCATTATAGTTATATCAAATTTCATGTTTGATTAAGAGGTAGGGAAATAAAGTTGAAAAGATCAGTAAGTTATCTAATCTCTTCGTGTCACATTATTGATTTTTATTTAATTTTAAGATAATTATTATTTATTTCTATTGTCAAATACTTGATTAACATAATAAGATTATAGGTAAAAATGTTTCGTATTGTTTTCATGTTAAGATTAATATAAACGAGGCATCTATTTCAAGTGACTACAAATACACTTATTCGTATAAACAGAGACTAAACCTTTGTAAACAATTTATTATCAACTGTCAATGGTTAATATAACCCAAATGAACTTATTCTCTTTGTTACTCATGTGTTGTAATTAAACAGTACACTTCTTTTTGCACAATCTAGAAACCAGCCTTTTTACAAAGAGCATCTGTGGCAGCGATTGGAGCTAAGGTGGGTTATAGTTTCATTTTATTGACAAAAATATTCTAAGTTGAGGTGAAGACGTGTGTTGCTTTTATTTTTTGATTTATTTGTTTATTTTTTTCAAACACGACCATTTCTATGATATTCTTTATGTATCGTTTTACAACTATCTTGAAGTATTTAGAGATACTTTATTCAATCAATGTTCTCAAAACCAAAACATCATCCCGGTATATCAGTGTGCTATTTCTAGTAGGAACGAATTAACTAGTCATCGACATTAGGAATAATCTTTAAAAGGGTAAATTAGTTAGCATTGCGTGATGCAAAAATAGGTTACGTTGTTTCTAAGGTCAAATTTCAATGATTTTTAACATCCAGTTTTCTACTGACTATTGCTGCTAAATTATTCCTTTATAAGAGATAGTTTCTTGAAAACATCTTTCAATTTTCATATATAAATGGAGCCCAATTATAATATTATAATATTTCAGATAAATCAGGCCAACATATTCGTATGTAAGTGAATTACTCTAGTATAAAAGATTCTCATGTTATCAACTGCCAATATGCTTTCTCTTCTACCAGTGAGATCTTTCAAGAAATTAATCCTGAAAGTATTACCGACTAGTCAAAGGTTATAGCAACAACCCAGACATTTCCTTCTCATAATTCATGGAGTTACAAGTTAAAGGACTTCAGTAGTAATGAAAAAGCAGTACTACTTATTACTTTTATTATCATGATGAACAAAACTAAATAATTAGAACAAAAGTAACGAAACTAAATAATACCAATATTGCGCATAAATCTCGTTAATTATTTAAACATCATTTGAAGTGTTAATCTTAATGCCGTTTGTAAACTCTTATAATCACTTTGAACTATCAATAAATACGCGTCCTATTTCACCACAGTTGTACTACATGTTTAAGGACTTTTTGCATTCTATCTAGGATACCAATATCATCATAATAGGCATATATCAGGTTAATATCTTGAAAAATAAAATAAACACACCCTTCAGTCCTATAGAAAACAAAATACACCCAATTATTATACAAGAATAAATCTAAATCTAAATCTATTTTCTATTATCTTAATTCTATATTATCTTCAAAATAAATAACCAACTACTAATAAATTATTTTCATTAATTTCTTCTTATAATCATCAAATCACCTTCTTTATTCTATAGAAGCATATTTCTATGACAAGAGCATCTGTTTCAACGAATGATTTTAAACCAAAGGTGGGTATTTAGTGTATTATATACAAGTCTAATGCTAACAATTGCTAAAAATATAGGACGTTTAATTTTTTTTGAAGAAAAAAATGTATGTCTATGCAATTTGGTTTAACTATTCATAATTATACAACTAATTAGTGATTACTTGATCATGTTTTAGTTTTAATATCCATTTTTATGTATCAGTAAAATGATGATCAGTGCTTCCGTGTAATGTAGTTAAATAAATGCTAAATGACATTTAATTATTCCATTGTAAATTTTGTTAAACAATTTTTGTTATTGATTAAAATAACTTGTCAAATTTATGTATCAAGAACATATTTATCATGAAATAATAAATAACGAATTATAAAATACAAGAGGATGCACGAGAGTGTATCCTCTAATGAGTATGCTATAAATTTTTGAAGTTCTACAGAGAAATTAAATAGCGCCTGGTGCGAGACTGATAGGTCCTGGGTTCGAATCTCTCGGGGATGGGATCGTGGATGCGCACTGCTGAGGAGTCCCATACTAGGACGAAACGCCCGTTCAGTGCTTCTAAGTTTTCCATGGTGGTCTAGCTTCAATTGACTCATGATTTTAATCATTGAAATTTCTAAAAATCTCCACAAAACCCATGCTGATAAGAAATAACATTAATTTTATCTATGCTGTAATTTAGACGATTACTTGTAGATGATTATATCAATATATAAGATAGAGGAGCGTTATAGTTCAACTTACTAGATTATAGAGAATGGGTTCATGACAAAACCTTATGAACATGCATTCAATACCGTATGAATATATTATGATGAAAAATTGTGAGTATTAAATGTCTCTTCAGTGCTCTGCAATATTGTAATTGTCCTTTAGTCGATATCGACTTGTGACTATACTTAACTTCAAAATGTACCAATATTGATACACCATGCAACAACAAAAAAACTAGACATGTATTTCTTTTGGATTGATCATCTTGTAAATGATACAAGATTAAATATATCGATAAATTGATTTTAGTCAGTATACTTGAATTTATCTGCTTTTTATTCAAAGTTGGCGTTATACTGTCTGTTAGCTTAAATAACAATTTATGTATATTTTAGACAGATCAATAAATATGAACAACATGTTATCAGAGGAACATAGTGTACATCCAACAACATATCTGTTACTCTATTAAAAATATTAATTAAGATGTATAGAAATGATTATTTAAATGTATAGATAATTAGTTAGAGATAACTGAATTCAAAATAACTACTTTCAGTTATGTTTTATTAAATTCATTGTAACAAATTATGTCCTGTTTTAGAAAAAAAAGGTGTTTCCTAGTAACTATTACATTCCATTCTTTTTTTAATGGTAGGCAGTTTTAATACTGTTTTATACTTCTGAACCTATTTTTGTATTGGTTTATTATACAATACATTTTCGATGTATATTTGCTTGATTGACAACCATATGCTTGCCAGTTATTAAAATTAATTAATAAAACACTCTAGATCTATCGATTTATAATTACACAAAATAATTTAATCACTGCTATGTGCTGAATGATAGATGTTTGTATCTGTTCGGTGCTTCTAGACAATAGTGAGTTACACTGGACTAGGATTCCCTGATAGTTGATATTAGTGAACGGAATTGCACATATGCCATGCAGGCAAGTATCACATACCACGTAGATCTAGATACATGATTTCCTCATTACCATAAGCTAAGGTGTGTCGTCATGTCAATTCATTAAGACTGGTGCGCGCACTACAAATTTACCAATGGAATTCGATCAACACTGCAGATTAGACAACACGATGTACTTAAATTCACAAAAACCAGTGAATCTATGTTTGTTAACTATTATGTCATAATAAATATTGTTAGTCTAGTTTGAAGATGATGATAATGATAACATCTATTTAATCTGCTTTTTATTTTATTATAACTGTATCTTAATAAGCTGAGGATTTAATTTATTTTATAGTTTTTTACCGATTTCTAAATTTGACTAAAACAAGAACAATTAATGTAGCAGAGTAATATGAATTCATTAACAATAAAATATTAATGCTATAATTGTGTAAAACTTAACATGAAATCAGTCAACTGTGTAAAGACCAGATAAAAAATGAATGTTATTAATTAATGTCACAAAAAATAGGAATTTATGAATGCCTTCACCACGGGAAATTAAAACTGATAACTGAATCATTAAAGAGAAAGAATGTATTTGTAACAATCTTTTAGGATGCGTTAATTTGGTTTATATATTTCTATGGCAATCGCTTCAGAGAACTGTAGTAAATTCAACGTTCTCTGTTCACTAACTATCTTGAGGGACTTTGAGATATCAATATTATAGCCAAGGTATAGCAGATGGCTTTTGATATCACCACTGAAAACGTACTGAACTGTTAGTCTAATCTTCTGCGTTGTGTGGTCAGAGATGTGAATTCTGATCCTACTTTATGTTCTTTCAATATATGTGCTTGGCACATACATGTAAACTGATAGGTACGACTGGATGTAACATAAGGCGCAAATTTATCTACATATGATTGTCTTAATAAGAAATTCGTTTAATACAGAGTGATCAACTTGAAAAATGAATGCACTCATTTATATTACGGCCTTGAATCTGAAACCAATCATTCCATCTATTTCTTTGCCTTTGAATCCAAGTCTTAAAAAACAGCGTTCTTCTCAATCATAGCATACTCCATTTCTTTTGCTTTTGTCTTCCCATGCATAGTTATACATTTTTGAGAGTAACCATCATTATATAAATATCTTTCAGCTACGGTTAATTACCTATCAATTTTATATTCTGAAAATAATATTCTGACACAATTGAAAAACATTCTAGCAAAGGGTCAGTTGTAGCTTATCCGACAGGAGCTATTAAAGCTTAAGGATGATTCAATCCATTGATCCTTTTGATAAATATCTCTCTCCAACCAATCGTTTTTCTAATATGAGCTTCAAAGTCATATATATAGCTTTAATTAAAACTTACACAATAATGTATTTTTCACTTTAACTGTCCATCATTCTGTGGTGCAGTCATTTTCAAAGATTTGTTTTGTTTAAAAAAAAATTTAGAATAAGAATCTCATTTAAAGAATATATATAGATCATGATACAATGTATGCACACAAATGAAAATTAGCAAAGTTGATCAAATATTTTACTTTTCAACTAATTATTACATGAAAGTGAAATCCATGTAGCCTTAATTCACAGTATTTATAAAGGGATATATTCTAAAAACAAACTTTTTGTCATAATGCTCAGATAATTGCCATCATCTTTTTTTTCTGTAAAATTGTTGTCACGGTACCAGAAACACAAAACCTGTTTTTCTATCCAATTTAGTATAACATTAAATTACGTTCCTACTCATTTGGAATTTTTAAGCCTGTGCACAAATTCTATATCACTTACAGTTCCTATTTATTGATTTTCCTTTTTATGCATGCACAATTAATTTTTATTAAAGTCCCATTCTCCTTTCATATATATAACGTTTATTTTCTGTGAATATTTTCATTACTATCCATTTAATTTCAATGTCTGGGTAATGGTATTTGTTCAAATAAACTGTAAACATAAACTTTTTATAATTAAATTGTATCAGTTAATGAGTATTTGCAGATTAAGGTTTATTATGGTGTTTGTTTTATCGCACATGCGGAAAATCCAGAATTACATAAACACTTGTTATTTTATGATTTCATTCATTCTTCAGCTGAGATCGATATGAATACAGATTCTGTTTTAAGAAATATTTGTGCAAATTCAACAGTTTTCATTTCACTAATTTTTTTCAGGAGCAATGTTCAGTTAAAAGGTCATGTGTATCATATAATGATCTTGGTTATAAGGTTGGTATTATGTTTATTTTTTTCTTTTTTGACAAGTCGGAACCTAACGAAGACATATGATTTTGCAATATTAACAGATAGCTACCTAATCAAGCTACCGATCTAATGTCAATAATACATATTTGTATGTTTTACTCAATGCTTTGATTTAACTGAGCGATCTTTGCTGTTAATAATGGAATAACGGATTTTAAATGATGATTTGTGATTAGTTTCTTGAGTCATTGTATTCATAATATGTGTATAATGACTTATTATTATAATTTTATACGTATTATACGATTCCTATCAACTTTGGAATTAATTACTTTTTTTAACAGTAAAAACGGTATATATTTTGTTAGGAAATTATAATCTTTATTAATAATTTCTTAGTAATATGTTTTAATTGATTAAATCATAAACTTTTTATCTTAGTTCTATTTACTCATTTATATCAGCTTTCTCTAGGTAGTAGAGAACAAGGAGCAAGTTCACTTTCAAAAGCGCTTAGTATTCACAATGAATGTCAACATCCTTATCATCGATATAATCAACCTTTAACTAATTGCTTATCCTCTGGTTCTGAAGCATGTACTGTTATTTGCGGTTTAATTGAATTTGTAAAATCACCAATTCTCGTATTGTTAAGATTAAACAAAACTATTCAACGTTCATGTATTTCGGAAGTCGATATTCCAGTACGCTTTATATTTATTTATGTTGGACCACAAAATGATGAATTAAATTATGCTGAATTGGCTCGTATATTTGCAGTAATGATGACTAATGATGTAAGTTAATATTCCGATTAGTTGTTTTTGAATGTGGTTTCTCTTTTGCTAATACAGATGGTAATACGGATGAAAAGGGTTTTTCAGTCATTCGGTTAAATGTTCCACTTCACTTCTGTTGACTCAGATCAAACATCTAAGCTAAAAGCTGAATACATTATGTTTGAGGTTTACTCTACTCAGTGTGTGTACGTGAAACTGTTGTTTGGCTTTTTATGGTAAACACTTTTTCAGACTATAACAATGTGTTAGTGAAACTTTAAGTCAATTTATAGATAAACATATGTTTCTTCTTAACACTACATGTGAAGCATTCACATAAGCTTAACAACTGAATTAGCTATGTAATTTCTTACGCATGATGGAATATAAGTAAAGTGATCAGCTGATTTATTAAGAAATATGACATCATTTGATGTAAAGGAACCAAATTTAGAAGTTTTTTTTCTCTTACATGCAGGATTTGAGTGGGTTGATCTCATTTTTATAATTCATGTTTAACAACTGAAAACTTTGAGTTTTTTTCTGACACGTGAGCACAACATCCATCAAGTTCAGCAATGTACATCTAATGTATTATGTAATTTTCAAGAATTTTATACTTTTTAAACACAAAAAATATTTCTACAATAAGGAGAATTGAGCTGCAATGTAATACAAGACCGTCGTTATACAATTCTTTGTGGTTTATCCTAGATCAACATTCTCTTCAGCTATGTTTTCAAATCTTACAAGAAGCATCATACTGTTAGTGATCTTTGTTTTCAATGATTCTCCTAATGATAAAGATTCATGAAATATGGTTGTTATATTGCATTGTCGTAAATTCGTCATTTAAAAACTCCACTTGTCATCTCAATTATTGATAACAAAAGAATTTATTATTTACAATAAATTTTCATTTGAATAGTTTTGGATTGTATTATAAGTTACCTAAAATAAAGCATTATACTGTTTTAAATTATCTGGAAACAAAATTATGCCTAACTCATTTTTATGGTTATTTGTATGATAACACTGACTATGCTATTTATATTTATATTTATAAACTTAGCATTAAAGGGTTATTAACGATAAAATCATTTTGATGTATAATCATAACAGATTGTGTTAACAAGTGTAATTATATGAACTATTCCCATAAAGTATATTCCTTTTATAGCCAAAAATGTGCTTCTGATTGCATATACATAAATATTTATTGCATAACAAAAAATGATTGCAAGATGACATTTATTTGAATCATTTTATTATTTACTAAAACAACGGATTACTGTGTATCTGTAAACAAACTTAATCTCACTAATAAGCATCTTCATGTCACTGTATTTTTAGCATTGGAAGAGAGAGATATATATTTACTGTTATAATTTTAGTTCTCTCAACGATTTTCAATCTGTATCCTTTAGCGCTTGATTTCTTTAACTTACAAATGAACGATTAGTTATCATATGGGCTGTCCAACCTTAAATACTAACCAATAACAACATGTTACGATATTTTCTATCTGTTGAAATTAACGTTTCTGTTAAAGAACAGTTCGTTGTTCAGTGATTTGTTTAACTACGAAACTTAAATTGGACAATTTCATTTCTTGTTAGGAAGTTTTCTAGAAAACATTTCTATTTATCCTTGTTTCCAACCGTAATTTGCAGTAATTAAATTAAGTAATACGAGAATAAGGAGCGCACATACGTCTATAAAAAGCACTCTATCATAGCACTTATATCAAGGATAATATCACAATTTTAGAAATTAATATTTTCTCAAGAAGCTTCAAATGCTTTTCATTATTTTTTTTAAAGTTGTCTGGTTTTTCAGACACAGGTAGATTGTAGTGGTGTCCTTTAAATTAAATGAGTCAATCTTTAAGTTTTGGCTGTTGTTTTTCGAAACTGACTATGAAAACTTCGTGTTTGAAATATTGTGCTCAGAAAACGTAACTTCACTGAAATACACCTCTTAAACTAGAGATGTTATTCATAATTTTGAAATATACCTCAGCATGGTATTTGACACTATATTTTTCAGGAATGCTTTATATTTTCAACAAACCTAAAATTATAACTGACAACACTTGCATTGTAACCAGCACGACATTACAGGACTAATATTTTACTATACTTGAGGGACTTAGGTGAAATAAACTTTATGATATTGTTGATGTTCACACTGACACTCAAACTTAGTACCTTTCATTTCAAACCCCAACTAATCTGTGAAACAGGTACGAAGTAAATTATAATGGTTTTTTATTTCTAGTTGTTGGTTTTCAGGACTACGTCCGAGTAACTTCTGTAAACATACTATGAACTTGTAAGTATAAGGCTCAGTATATACATTATCAGACTGTGCAACAAGATGAAAACTACAAAAGACCGACGGTAGTTTTCAAACGTTGTGTAATGCAAATTGCTTCAAGCTAAACAAATTAGTTTATAACAGTTGAAAGTACTAGTCGATCTAAGCTAGACCACCACAAAAAACTTGGAAGCACTGTTTATTTTTTCCACTCATTTTACACTCCTTTAAATTCATATTCTGTTTGTTTTAAATTTACCTTTAACACAGACATTTCGGTTATGTGTTTACGACTCAATTTCAGTTGATGATATTATTAAAGGAATTGATAATTTTATGCAAGATTCATTTGTTATGCCACTTTCACGTCATTATAATGCTAATGCTCTAGCTGGAATGACACGTCAAATTGAAGCATATAGAAAAGAAACAGTTTGTGAAAGAGATGGTGATCGACGACCAAAAGGTATGAATAATTTATAAATTATTTTATAATATTTTAACACTATTCATGAACTTAAATAATCGTTAATGTTGTCTAAATAAGTAATGTGTAATTCATCATTATGAAGATTTATAAGATGAATCAACAGTAATTATACTGTTATTTTATTCGAGTAAATTTAATTAGCTTACGTGTTTATTTAGTGTATTTGTAATAATAATTAACTTGTATGATCATTTTTTTTACTGAATAGAAAGTTCATTTACATCACAAACTGACTTAAGCTACATAACTATTAACAATCAAGAAACATTGAGCAGTTGTTTAACATGTGTTTTTAATTCATCATCTGGGTTGACCAACAGGTTTGTTTCAGCTCTTGGTGAAATCTGTGCTCAGTGATCTAAACGTAGTGTTCTTTCCTTGAAAACTGATGGTTTTATATTAGATCCCTGGCAATGTGACACGTACGTACTGATGTGGAGTCAAAAACTAAGACGAAGTATCTGTTCAATGATGCATAATCTTCAATAGTTGTCTAACTAAAGTCATTGTGGTATGTAAGCTAACTTGGTCAGTTTTTATTAGCCATTAGCTGAAGGTTTTCTTAGGTATTAGGACAAGCAGAATACTACATATATATGGAGAAATACAGACAAAGATATTGGTCAAAATAAACCGATTTTCTCTGATGGTTTACTCTCTGTGAGTTAAGTGGTAGAAATTCTAAATTCCAATTAGATTAATAATCTTCAAATCTGTTGATAATTGTTTTCAGTGTGTATTTAGACTCCAAGAGATATCAACGTTTTCTTACTACGTTCATTCAGAAAACTGAAATTCTAATGTCGAACCGATGAGATAAATTTTGTCGTCTACTGAACTTGATTAAAATGTAGTCTTATGAGATGTAAAATCTACTGACTGTTTTAGAATAACCGTATTGGAAATATTCATTAGAATCCTTTTGTAGACAGTCAGTTAAAAAGAAACGAAACCGTGTTCTGAATATCATTTACTGACTTTATTCAGATTATCACTGACAGTTTTTAAGAAACTCATAAATTCTGTACTTTGTAAGCTAAAAATTATGATCAAAAACTACAATGGAAAATATCAACAATCATTGGCAGTGAGTTCAAAGTGATCATGAGTCTTTCTGTAATAAAAAGAGAAAGAAAAGTGAGAAATCGAAGATATAATTTACCATGATAGTTATAGCTAATTTGAATTTCTTTGAATTTTAGTAAGTAAATTTCATTTTCAAAGTCACTCAAATGTAAAATCCGGATGAAATAAGAAATAAAATTTTTTTTTCTAAAAAAAAGGGAATTTTCATTTGTACAGTAAATGTCTATATCAACAACAACAAAAAATGTTTCGAGTGTGAATGAATCATTTCGGAAAATTGTCGTCAAAGAATTGAACAACAGACAAAACTTATTTTGACTTACAATTCAAACTTTCAGATAAGAATAACATGTCCATATTTACATATCTTTTACGTTGATATATTATTCTTACTATGGTGCAAGTAGAATACGAACAAATTTAGGTAGACTACATTAAAACATGTTCATCAAGTTATTACCTTTTGATTGACCACCAAACTAATCGTAATACCCAATTGAGTAACTTAACTTTTTCATAGATCTCCTTATTCTGAAGATTATATCATTCAGTTTTTTTTTTCTTGTACTTTAGTTTCATTTGTTTTCTTATGATTTTTCACTTCTTAAGTTTAATATCTCTTTTTTTATTATTAACTTTGTTTTCTTTTTCTGCTACCACTAATTTTTGCTTACTGTGCTGTAACTTGTCGCCAAATAGATCGATAAATACTATGCGAGTCACAATAAAAATTAACGTTTGATGCATACTGGAATGTTGTTTATATTGTTTATTCTGAACAGCATTACTCCTTGTTATTGGATTAGTATTTTTTTCTATTCAAATGCTTACTATTTCTATATCAACGTTACGTATCAAAGCATAGAAATTTGTTCATACAGTGAACAAGGCTGTTAAATTTTCAATAATGTAATAGTTTTACATTATCTTTATATTTGTTAAATGAGATCAGTAAATCTGAAAGGAAGAAAAATGATATATTTATATCATGGATTATTTTCAGCCACTTACAGCCTCAAAACGATAAATATTGCTTTGAAAATACAGATATACATACTTTATGTCATGCTGACAGAAAAGTATTCGTGAGGATTGTTAGTTAGTATTAAACTAACAGATATAGAAGAATTCAAAGGTTCTTCGGATCTTTTTATTGTTAATGTCAAAGTCTGCAGTTGTTCATTTTCTCTTGCCACACATATATTCTGTCTGAATTGCCTTGGTAATAGCATTGGTTTGCAAGCATTCTAAACAGAGTCAAATAAGGTCTAGCAATAGAATCCCTGTTGTATAAATTAGCGACTAACTGAACTTAGCAGCTAGGTGAATAATGCCTTAAGCGTTTGAAACAATAGATCTTAGGTCTCATTTCCGATTCAAACATCAGAAGGTGAGGTGCCAGTACATTCAATTGACGAGTTTCAATAGGAAGAAATAAGCCTTCTGGATTCTATCATTAGCCACTATACAACTCTGTCCAAATTGTTTATTTCAGTGATTATGTACAGAATAACTGTCTAACAAGATTAAAAGAGAAAATTCATAGATGCACAATGGCAGGTTTATAGTCAAGGAAAATTAATGTCATGAGGTAAATGGCATCAACCACAAAAGAGAATAATTAATAAGATTGAGTGAAACAAGCTCAGAGAAAAAAAAGGAGGAAAAATATTATGAATGACAGAAGAAAATACAATATTATAAATTTAATTATTGACCTTAATCTTGTTGCCTGTTAAATATAATTTGCTTAAGACTATTTATTTTCTTCCTTTATATTCTTTTCCTCTTACTTGCTGACTTTCTAATCTTTATTCACTTAAGCTCGCTCAGCAGTTTTTTTTGTACTAAATCTTGTTCTATGCGTGACATTAATTGTCCATATTAGAAACCTATTGTATTTATATCCTTCGGACTTTTTGTTTCTAGAATATTACACCTAGATTTAACAAATGAACGATAGGGAATATTAAAATTTCTTGAGATTAGTTTATATTTTATGCTTTATTACCGATCTATTTCTTTTATATCTCTAACGTTGATCAAAATATATCTGTAAACATAATCTAAAGTCTTTAAATTTATCTCCAACAAACGATACTACTATATTTAGTTTGTAACGAGCTAAAGAGAATCTGCAAGTCAAATGAATGTCATGCAGTGAAATTTTATGATATACTATGTGAATTTCTGATTGTTCACGTTTAAAAAAAAAGAATGTTTAATTGATAGATGCTATCCAATTATATGATATCAATAAGAAATAGGAACTCATGGAATCTAATTATTGACTTGAGATACTTCTTCTCATTCAATTGAAACAGTAACGGAAAATAAGACAACTATCAAGTAGATTAGGCTATTTTCTGCTGGCACACAACATATCAAACATGAAAATAAATATAACTAGAATTTCTTAATAAATAAACGATTGGAAAATTTGGCGATTATAAACCGTTCATACTTCAATGCAATTAATACTTGACTATCAGGCTTAATTCTAACACAATCTTATCAGTGGATTAGTATTCGTCGCCTGCAAATGATTGTTTTGCTATCGTGATATTTATAAAGCAGTGAGAGTAGAAATTGATGGATTATGGAAAGCAATATCTGACTAATTATTATGTGTAATCGGATCATATGAAGTGGGTTTTTATTAAATTTTATATTAAAAACTTACATTTTATATGAACACAATGGAATAAATAAACTTATCAATTCATAGCAATTTCTTTTTTTTCCTAGCTCTTGTATTTTTTTCCCTTTTATTACATCCATTTGTTTTTAGATAAACGAAGAATGTGATAATGATTAACTAACTTATTATCATATTATTTGGAAATTTCATATTTGTTTACCTCGTTTATATTTTCCATACACTTCTATGCATCCTTTATATATATATATATTGACTGTATTCATTGTTCATTATCTCTATTTGATAATCTACATTTCACCTCTGTGTAAACTTTTACTCGGTTGTACCCTCATATTTCCGTAAATATAAATCCTTTCGATTTTCAAATTTCTTTTGAAATTTAGAAAATATATTTGAAAAAAACAACAACAAATCTATATGTACAATTATCAATACTGATTTATTTGTTTGTTTGTTTTTGTCTTGATTACATGAAATAAATTTCTTGTTATAATCAACAATGCATTTTTCATGTTTCGAAATAATCTATGGGAGATATTCAGAAACATAAGAATAAATGTTATAAATTTATGTAAAACTTCCTCATTTCCCCCGCCCCCCCCCCAAAGTATATTCCCCTTAAGTAAAACTGATTGATTATTGATAAAAGTGATATTAAGATAAATTAGGTGGAGTTCAATCAGACAGGTATTGTTGATGATATTTTATCACAATGAAAGTTAATTGTAGATTAATAGTTGGAAATATGAAAAAAAAATTTGATTTGGAAACCAGTAGTTTAAATGTTATTTGCTTGATAAAATATGCGAAAATTCTGATTTCCGGAATCGCCAGAACTATAGGTGAATAAAACTAGAATAAAATAGTTACCCGGTCCCATTTGATGAGACTCAATGATTCAACAACTGGTGCTAATCTAATGGCATCTAATTTTGTGTTCAGTTAGAATTCCTATTTATTTAGCTATTATCACATAAGTAGATAGAATAAAATATTATTATACCGTTAATTAATGTAATGTTGATGTAAATAGTCAAGTAGTATTCCAAGTAAAATATTCATTCCTCCTTTAAACTGATTAACTTTTGTTAAAATCCATCAACAAAATATATATCACCAAAATTAATAATTACTAGTCAGCTACCATTATATACATTATGGCAACTAATTTTTCTCAAAACAAATAAAATAACGTTTTATTCTTATCGAATTAATCATTAATATTAAAAAATTTAATTCCCAGCATGAAACCTAACTTTCTTGTATACAGGTTCATTTACAGTGAGAAAGTTGACTGAACAATCACAAAACAATTTAGTCAATGGCTCATATGTTCCATCTTCACTTAATTTGAAACAACAAGCTGATAATATCATTAAACAAGACAGTGATAAACTACCTGTTCCAACAAATGAAACTGATACACCTAAAATATCTAAACGAAAAATATTTTTACGAGATTTTTGTCCACCATTTATTGAATTATCACGTGGAATTCGACCATGGATAAAACGAATGCCAGGTGATTATAAAGATGCAGTAAGAAAAGAGAATTTTAGCATTGTTTTTGGCAGTGTTCTATTTATCTACTTTGTCAATCTTTCACCGTCTATTACATTTGCTGCATTATTAAGTAAGTTTGACTATTGAATAATCGTAACTCTATTTCGTTTCATTTATTTCATAAATAAACTTTCTTTCATCTATTACATGTTTAAATGAATAAGTTATTTATGAGTTTAAATAATGTGGCAATTAATGTAAACAAGCTGAAAAAAATCCTCATAGGAACATTGACCAAAAGCCTAGAAATCATAAGATTGTGCGATTACCAGAGGCAAAAGAAAAGAAATAAATAAATAAAACACCCGATCTATGTCATGTGATGTAACATGCTAATACACTTTATTCCTTCGATAATTTTCACCCCTAGTAAAGGCTTATGTTTTAATTGACACCGCAACGTTGACAAGGGTTTGGAGTAATTTTACTGTCTAAATAAAACGGAAGATGAATGATCCTGTATAAATGTTTTATTATTAAGGCTGTTGTATCTTATTTACCAAACATTGAAAGTATTCAAAAATCTCAAAGACTAAACAACATAAATGTATATACGACATTGTTTTGACTCCGTTTTACACTTGAAAGTGAAGTATTCAAGTTTATTTGTTATACAGTTTTTGAGTTTATTAAACGCATTTCCGAGAAATACAGAACATCGGATTTTATTATATTGATAACATTTAAATAGTGGTTCCGCTTTTCAGCAGTGCTTCAGTGTAAATATAGCAAATATAAATAACCTACTGCGGTTATTATTACTTTAATGAACAGGTTATATGCTACTGCAATTTCTAATATACTTCAATGATAATACTATCAACTTCAGTGATGTAGGACTGCCATGTATATCTAAATGTTAGTAAAAGATTAATAATACTAATTATAACGTGTATATGCATATGTTTCTGTGTTTTCAATGTTTATTTCCTGAATTTTACTAATAAAGTTAAACTACAAAAAAATCCTAAAGGTTGAAAACGTGATGTTACGTGACAACTGAGTGTATTTCAACTTAAACACTTAAAAAACATCTCTGCAATTTTTATGACGAAATGCTGTCCACTTTATTTTCATAAAATTAACTATTCTCAGTGTTGTTAGTTGCTTTTAGTGTCAAACCAATGACTAACTTACTTTTCTGAATTTTACTTAAAATATGGTTAGCTAATATTGTACTACTTTAAGAGCGTATACTCATTTCAATGATATTATGGTTTGTTGCTTTCAAAAGAATTTTCTTGTAAATGTTATAAACTCAGTGTTATGACATTGATTTATTGTCTATAATCACAGAGTTGTTATCACTTGAGACCACCTTACAATAAAAAGAAAAGAACTTTCCTCTATATTTGATCTTAGTAAAAGCTTAAGGAAAGATGCAATAGTCTAAAGTTAGAATATTTCATATTGTCTTATTCTTTAAGTTATCATTTGATGATAAGATTCTCTTATTTATATACTTAGCATAAGTTTAGTTAACAATAGCCATACGCACTTTGTAAGGCGTTTATCTACGTTTCCTGATATTAGGTTTCCATAAAACCTTAGTCGCTGTTTAAGAAACCATCTGTCAGTTTAACATCAAAAAGAAAATCTACTAGTTGCAATTACTTTCATCTGAAAACCCGATTAGTTTGAAATAAAATTCTCAGGAAACTGATAACACATCAAGAATACGTTATATTCTGTTGTTCTACTTAAAGGAATTCAGTAAATCTTCACTTCTTTAAAATCCACTTTGAGTAGTTTGAAATGAACAATATTAAAAGGCCTGAATAGCCAAGTAGTAGACTGTGTGGCTTAGTTACTGGACGACGTTGTTGCGAATATCTTGAATATGCAGACGTTCCCATAATATTATAGATACACTCTCCTTGTTGATGCTAACCAGCTTGAGAAGTAAGTTTAATACTTTCCATCAACAGATTATAACTATCTAATATGTTTGATGAGAAAAGTTCACAAATATCAGTTTCGGTTCTGCCTAAGTTTTGTAACCAAAATATAGGTTCACTTTTTTTCGAAAATATCCACTTATATTAAAATGTTGCAAATTATTTTAATTTTTAATAGAATCAATTTCATATGATTTCATTTAATTTGTTACACTGAATTTGCTAACCGATAACAAAACAAACCTCTCACTTAACTATAGAAAATATGAAATTAGGCTAGAGGATATTTACTTCAATCTCATGTCTTATTATCACTTAATAGTTAAAGTGATAAACAAATGCTTAAAACATCTGTTTTGTTGAAAGATATCACTTTTCTTATTTTGCATCACTAGGTTTGGTATTTCTTACAACCAGATAGAGCAATCTGCTTTTAATTAACACCTTGTATTTGTTTCATTATCAACATTTAGGTTTAATATAAAAATAATTTACGTATGAAAGATTTTATATAATAGTGTATGGGTTAATTAAATTAGTTTGAATTGTTTCATATGAAAAAAATAAAATACTATACTATAATGTAGATATTTAGACTATATTACTACAATTACGATTTTCTTAAATATTAGCCCAGTCACTAGTGAAAATAATGCTCTAATATATTTGAAGGGTTCAAGGCTAACGAATAATTCACTTGTTTTTGTGTTTTTTTAATTTTCACCAAAATTACAGTAATTTGTTCATTCTAATTGTTTGATGGCATCTTTTTGAACTGATTACTTCATACATTTAGTTTTAATTGAAATGATACGATAATTATTTAACACGGTTAATCTATCTGGAAGGGCAGTTATTTCGGTATAAAAAAAACTTCATGCAGCTAAATATCAAACCACATTATAAAGAAACACCTTCAAATTCTTTTCATATTCATGTGATAACATTAGGTTTTGATTCCTTATTAAATCAAAAAACAGTCACGGTACTTTGAATAACTTACGGTTCAAAAATATATCGGGATAAGAGGTTAAATAAATTAATTTTTGTATATGATTACTGTCACCAATAATAAGTATAATATAACTTAACACTGCGTAGCTATGAATTTATAACATTACATCTCTTTTGAAAGTGCTTTGTTGTTTTTTTATCGTAAAATAACCTTTTGTAAATTTGATAACACTCTTTGTTCAATTAGATATTGATTTGACTACTATGATCTCTTACCAGCCTGACTAATGTTAACATTTAAAGAAATTAAATCTTTTGACAATAAGTATTAATAAATCTAATATCAAACACATGCAATGAGAAATAATGAAATATTAGCAGTGATTACTTTCCATCAATAATGGCTAATTAATATTAGATTGTTGGAAACTAATTATAGAAAGCTTAATATGATTTAGATTCAAAGTAAAACCTTTCTATAATCTTTGAAAAACTGATTTTCATCAATAAAATGATTATATTCGAGTTACTTACTTACGCCTGTTACTTCTAATGGAGCATAAGCTACCGACCAGCATTCTCCAATCTACTCTGTCCTGAGCCTTTCTTTCCAGTTCTGTCCAACTGTTGTTCATTTTTCTCATGTCTGTCTCCATTTCTCGAAGTAAAGTGTACTTTGGTCTTCCTCTCCCCCTCCTCCTTCTCCCCCTTTGGTCTTGAGGATTCCATATGTGGGCTTGCTTTGCGATGCATTTGGGTGCTTTCTTCAATGTGTGTCCTATCCACTTCCAACCCTTCTTCCTGATTTCTTCCTCCACTGTAACCTGGTTTGTTCTCTCTCACAATAGGTTGTTGCATATTTTAGTCAAAGTTTATAAAATCTAAATTATAATTCTCATTTAATGGGATTTTCTAAAAGTTATAAGATGCTGAGGCGAGACTCTAATTTATGGACGAGCCAATTAGAGGCGTTTTGGAGATTTCAAGGTTACGGTGCCAGCTTCAGTGCTTAATGCTAACGTACTATCGGTTCACAGGGAATTTCGTACAGAACGTGATAATTTAGCGGCTATAACATATAAAACGGCGAGACTATAATTTCTGAACGAGTCAATCAGGTATAAGATAACAGATCTCGGATTTTGGCGCGATAGCCTTCCATCAACTTTGGCGAAATAGATTTCTGGCATTACAGCTGATGTCAGTTCGTGATGAAAACCCCGTATATAATTCCTAACTAGGGCAAATTACGACAATTATTTCGAACTGGATAATAAAAGCACCAGTAACACCGGTTGCAGCCAGGTACTACAATATATACGGATGTTTGGAGAGCGTACAGACTCCTACATAGGCTTGGTTATGTTCATCGTGTCGTTATCCGCATCTAACATTTTGTGCACTCAACAACCGGAGTGCACATAAGCAATATTGAAACTATGTGGTCGAGGCTGAAAGAGTTTTTGAGACTTTATCATGACTCCAGAGACCGACTATTTTGTAGCCATATGAATGATTTCCTCTAATGCATGCATTACGATTTTAGAACCTCTGAACTTCTTTCTAACCTTGACAAGTTTTTGAACCACTTATAAGAGTTGTATTCACTTTATTCCCTTGGTTTTGTACAACATATCTTTACTCAATACTGACTGTTTGCTGATTGGCTAATATGTCTCAAGGTCGCTTAAGACTCATTCAAAGGTCGTCCATAAATTAGAGTCTGTCCGATGTTGACAATAGCTTAACTTGTTTTGAAGAAGAAAAAAGAAATTAATCTATATTAACATGTAACATTGACAATTATTAGCCTATAGGCAAGGACTGGAGAATAGTTTTAATCCTTTTTTATTTGGAAAAAAAAAATTACATTTCAATAGTTTCTACACAGTTTGATATGTTCATTAATTTTTGTACTCATTTTAATCGAAATTTTTGTATTATTCTTTCCATTTTTTTAAAATTTTCTGTAAACGTGTTTACTTTCTGAATTTCTATTTTTGGCCACAATGAAATTATTTTTCTAAATTATTTTTATTTCCTGTAGCCAAATAAAAAAAACTAAAAAAAAACGGACAGACACAATGAAAATCATTAGAAAAAAAAGACAAAACAAAGACAAAAACACTTTGAAGTTAATATAAATGTAGATTAGAATATGTTATCAAACAAACAAAAAAAAACGAATGAGTTCTCAATTCTTTTTATTTCTAAATTACATTCAATTATGGAATAAGGAAAAATTGACTGATTATAAAATTATATTAATAGTGAGTAGGTTATGCAACTGAAACTTTAATCAATAATAATTTTATTGATAATCAATTTGTTAACTGAATTGAATGATAATAATCAATAGAAGGTAATTGGATTGCATTGAATATTAATCATATAAACTTAACATTTGAAATTATATAGCACAGTTTTATAATCAGAAATATAATTGAAACAAGTTTATTCAATCAGTAGCTAACTTACAAATTTATCAAACAATAACAATAAATATTTACTCTCAAAATGATATCTAATGGAGAACTTAGTTTCACTGAAATTATTCGATGTACCCTAGTGATTAGTAATTATTATTACGAAATCAAGGCTTTGTGTACCTGTTATGACCTTGAATCGATTTTACCCCGTCGATACTTGGTTATAACTTGACCTTGATCTGTCTAGTCTAGATTATGACCTTGACGCGATAGGCTTAACCTTGAGTCTAGTACACGTGAGTTCGAGATGGGGTAAAGAGAGAACTATTCTAGAACCTGACTGGTTGGCAAGCACGCAAGTGAGAGAAGACAAGACAGTTGGAACACTCTGAATCCTGAATTCTCTGAATTCGAATTAGTGCAAAAATGTGCATGAATAAATAAGTGAATATCCTGACCACAACGTACGATAATTTGGAAAAATACAATTATGCCCGAAACTGGAAATTAGGGTAGAAAATAAGATGCAAAATATTATGTTTAAATTACAATATTTTCGGAACAAAAAAGGGTGACAGTTAATGTTACATAGAACGAAAGCTCATGTTATTTAGAATAAAATAGGGACAAAAATAAGTATAAGTGTTTTACAAGGTTTGAATGAAATGAAATAACGTCCCAAGAAAATAGCTTTCGTAGTTGTCTGGGCTTCTTATTTCCCCATTCACAACAATACCCAAATAATTGTGTCCAGTTACAAAATATATTGAATTAGTCTATTGGTCGTATTACCATTTGACCAACAGAATTTGATCATTCTTCAATATTTCAAACTTTCTAAAATTATTATTTTAGCAAAACAAAAGCATGTGATAAATATAGTAATATCCAAAAACAATCATTTTAATCAGTTCAAGATCGATTATTTTAATGATGGCGAATTGAAATGTGTAATTTTCTTATATAATCGAGATTGTTTAAACCTAATATTTTAGATTGAGTTATGTAGTCACTGCTTTTTTTCGCTCTACAGTGAGCAATGAACTAAAGGTTGACTTATGGAAATACTATGATTTACGGTAACCAGATTTTATTCAAATATAATTTAGAATCGCTTCAAGTTAGTTGTCGTAATTCAGTGTGTTTAAGGCTGGCAAAAGTTGATCTTCATAGAGTTTTTTTCTCTATTGTATTCTAAGATGGTAGTATAGTGTTTTAGATCATATTACTATTACATTTATTTTGTTTATGTTAAAACATTTAACTGTGGGTCTAATCCATTCCACTTGTTTGTGAATTAATACAGTATCGAGTGTTAGAGTTAACCTCTCAAATAATGGCTACCAATTAAATTAAATAAATAGTAAATATTGTAAATGGACTGATTTCTTATTTTTTAATTTGATTACATTTATCATTGTTTTATGTTAACCTTTTTTTATTACAGATACACAAGTTGATCCTTCCTACACTGTGACGTTAACTCTTTTAGCAGTTGGAGTGTTTTTGATTATTTTCACTATTTTATCTGGTCAACCACTTGCAATTATTGGTATCTCTGCACCTATGTACATTGTTGAATCTTCTTTAGTGTCGGTAAGTATTACTAGTGTTTCACTTTTGAAATGTATTAAAAAAACTTTGTTTTTATTTTCATTGTGTATAAAAAGACAGTTGATTACGAATTACATTTTAATTCTAGGATTTAGGTAATTTATTTTTGAGATAATTATGACACTGTTTTGCTTACTTAAATGCAAATTTCTCATTATGGTACATGCCCGTGCAACATTTAGCTTTTAACCGTTTTGCCTCCAGCCTGAAGATACCTTATGTGCTGAGAGAATTTAAGGATAAATATGTAGGAGAACTTGTATGAGAAAAGAACAAGAGAAAAAGTTAGCCGACAACTCAATAAGCACGTAATATGTACCTGCATTTATTTATGAAAGCAATCGACATCAGTTGAAAATAACACAAGCGTGAAATCAAAAGAATCAAATAATTGAAGTTACAAATTGATAACGTAGGGTTTCGAATGTCTTTTATGTGATCTGTCCAAATAATGTATAAAATGAGCTGCAAGATCGTTGTTTATGGAAGCTATTGAATAAAAAGTCAACTTTACTGTTCTTGAATGTCCATCATTTGAATCAGTTTATTCTTTGTACCCTATCTTCCATTAGCTTTTGTTTTGTAAAAGATTTAATATTGTCATAAATAGAGTTTTCACATGACCGAATGACATTGCAACCGATTATGCACAAAATTCTGGGTCTTGGTTTGATCACTACTTCAAACTATTATCAACAAATTTAGATACTGGTGATTTTTTTGCTTCGGAAATGTTAAGTAGTCATGTAGCTGATATAAAATCTGAAAATATAAAGCAGCTTTACAGTTGAGTTCGCAGGAAATTTCGAGGTTGCTTTGAACAAAAGTAATAGACGTGGAACAAGTATCTTGTTAAAAATAGAGAGTAGCTAGTTCATACGTTCTTTTGGTGGATGGTTTGGTCGTGTAGCTTTCATCGTTCTTCTGAACGATATCATCAGCACAAACTTCAGATAGAAGTGAAGTGTTCGAATTTCTCCATATGTGTTTCACAGCTTGATCTGTGCACCTCGATGTTGATTGGTTCTTATTGACCTTAAATTTATCATTGTTTACTTCTTTGTTTTGATTGTGTCTCCCATTGGTTTGATTTTTGTTCCTATATTTATGCATGATTTTCCTGATTGGTTGATAAATCGGATTGATTTCAATATGTTTGTTGATTGCTGATTGACCTGAGTGCCAAGCTTCTAGAAATTCTCTGGTGTTTTTGGAGTTTCCTCTGTCTAAGATTTCTACATTTTCCCAATCGAATGAATGTCCGTAGTTATCCACGTGTATTGATATAAGTGAAGAGATATCATGGCGTTTGACTGCTAATTGATGTTCATGAATGCGTAGGTGGAGGGGGCGTCCGCTTTTTCCGATGTAGTGTTTGTCGCATTTGGTACAATTTATTTTGTAGATGATGTTTGATTTGTTTTCCTTTGTTATTTCATCTTTTGGTTTGCATAGGATTGATTGTAATGATTTTGTTGATTTGTGTGCCACACCTATCCCGAAGGTTTTCAGCAGTCTCGTTGTGGTTTCTGATATTCCTTGTATGTACGGTAGGGTGATCCTTTTGTTGATTTTTGTGCTTGATTTGGGTTCTGATGCTGTGTGCCGTTGGTGCTTCATACGTTCTTCAAATATAGTATGTTTAATTTTTATATGTAATTCACACATTTAGAGAAAAGAACACAAAGTCGTAAGGCAGCCGATGATAATCAATTTGTAGGGTTGTAACTATGTTTTAGGCCCATTCATTGATAGACTTTAATGACGTTTGGACTTCCAGATCTAATTGTGTTAAACGTCATTATCCAACTACATAATCTAAGTTTAAAAGTTCTATTCTTAATAATTTCTGAATAAAAAATTAAAATATAAATTTCATAGCAGACAATTATCCATCTATTGTTATAGAGTAAAACACATATTTTTCTATGTATGCATAATCTTCTCGCTTTTATTAGCCTTGTGTATATTCAGCTGTCAACAACCTTCCTATCAACATTGTTCTACATTTTACAGATGTATGGCTTGATTTGCATGATACATGTGAATAGATTTTTTATAGCCCTTCACGACGATATGATTTATTAGTTATTAGTTAGTTTCATGTATATTTTGATTATTTCACACATCTGGTCTCTATTGATAATTGTAAAGGAAGTAAAAGCTATAAGATTAAAACAATAACATTTCTACCATGATTATTAATAATCATAACCTCACCTTGCCTATTTTAAATAACTAAATATTCTGAATAAATATATCAGTCAGTCAGTTAACCATTGGCTAAATTGAACCTGGTACATATGCGTATTGGTTCAAGTTCCTACATCACATCAGCACAGAGATTTAAAAAAAATTATCAAGACAAACAGCAAAGTAGTAGAAGAATTAGCAGTAACGACAGTTGTAGAACAGATTAGTTATAGACAATATTATTATTAGATAAGAAAGAATAAAAATAAAGAGTAAAGCGTATAAGGCAATTTCTAAAAAAAATTAGATCTGAGGGTAGGCAGTGAATGAATGCTTGTATGACAATGTAAGTCTCCGAATATTGATTACAGTAATTATGTGGACCCTGATCGATTAATCTGAACCTCACTTCGATAATCGATGACTTCATGGACTGATGCATAGTCTTGGTTCGACTGCTATACATATGCTTTAATCCATAACTTTTATATTCCTCGTTTTATTCATACAAACTGTTTATATTGTGTAAGATATTCATATCAAAATCATAAATGTACTAAATTTCTTTCCTATTGCTTGTTTCCAATCATACTTTTTCCACATAAATTTAGACGACTTAAATAAATCATAAAATCATTCTATTCCGAATATTCAATCATTACTCATTAGTTTATTGAATATATGCTTTTTGATAATTAATCATAAATTCTAATTACTAGGCCTAATAAATTTAGTGAGCCATGTTATCATGAACTATAATGGATGGTTCATAATAATAATGCGCACTGAGTTTAGACAAAGAGTTATTGCAAAAATGTTTCACATTCTAATCAGAAAAATTTGGGAGGAAGAATAAGAATCCACAGACTTGAAAAAGGATAGCTCGTCAAGATACTAAAGAAAGAAGATCACATCGATTGTGGAAACTACACATGTATCACAGCACTATTGGTACCAGGATACATTTTTCAACAGGGTGTTGTTGAACCGAATGAAAAATTCAGTAGACACCAAAATTCGAGATCAACAGTTCGAATTCCGTTAAGATCGCTAGTACACAGACCAAATCATGACATTACGGATCATTGTTTAACAATCAGATCAATGGAACTCGTCACTATTAATCAACATTCTTGGGCATCATTCCTACAATTGAAGAACATATGGAACTCAAAACAACTCTTTGTCAACCAATATAAAAGTCAGAATTTTCAATACGAAGAACAAGACAGTTCTACTATACGGAGATGAGACTTGAAAAACTAGCACAACCATCATCAAAAGTGTGTAGGTATTTTTGTAAACATTTGTCTATAAAAAATACCCAATGCTCATTGACCGGATACCATCAGCAACAACCTACTGTGGAGGAGAACAAATCTGTTTCGAGCTGAAGAGGAAATTAAGAAAACATAATAGAGGTGGTTGGCAAATACATTGCGGAAGTCACCAAAATACACTATGAGACATGTCCCAACTTGGAATACTCAAAACAAAAAGGAATAAAGAAAAGCAAAGAACACATTGCTCAAGAAAGTGGAGGCGAACATCAGAAGAGTAAATAACAGTGGGAAATAACTGAAAAGCAAATTTTAAAACAGAATTGTTTAGAGAATCCTAATCGATGTCCCATGTTCCTACATGAGGTTTAACAGGCATAAGTGAAGTGAATTATTATGAGAAAACATTCCTGAATGAAACAGATTCAAATTCTTAAAATGTTAATTATAAATTATTGTTGTTTATTACATTTCTAAATGGAAGACAACAACTTTTTTTTGTTTTTTATCAATATCATAATTAAAAGAAGGGGTTTGTGGAGATTTTAGAAATTTCACAGATTGGAATCATGAGTCAATTGAATCTACACCACCATGGAAAATCTCGAAGCACTGGATGGCCGTTTCGTCCTAGTATGGAACTCCTAATCAGTGCGCATCCGCGATCCCGCACCCCACGATATTCGAACCCAGGACCTATCAGTATCGCGCCAAGTGCTTAACGAACTAGACCATTGAGCTGGCATCCAATGGTGTTAATGTCTGACTTCAACCAATCCACGAAGTTGCGCCACCGTATGTCATTGTCTTCAGTGAGCTGATGTCTCATAACAGACCTGGTTGAACTCCACTAGTAACGGCTTCTCACTAGAACTCCAGGAGTATCTCTTGAAGTCAGTCCCTAGTGAGCAGATGATTATTATCAGAAGGGGTTTGTGGAGATCTTAGAAATTTCACAGAGTGAAGTCATGTGTGCGGGATCGTGGATGCGCACTGCTGAGGAGTCTCATACTAGGACGAAACGGCCGTCCAGTACTTTCAGGTTTTCCATGGTGATCTAACTTCAATTTACTCATGATTTCAATCTGCACAATTAAAACAGACAGATTATAAATAAATTAATTTCTAAATGAACATGTTTCATTTTTTAATGTTGTATGTTAGTTGAAAAAGACTAACTGATTCAGTCAAGTTTAATTTCATTAAGATTTAAATTTCATGTCCATGATATTATTCTTTTGTAAATAATAGATTTGATCTGTTTCAATGTTGAAAAACTATTCCACTTGAATGATATTATATATATATATATATATAAAATCAGTTGGTGAGGTTGTGAATCTTCATCGACTGAAATGGTTGGACCACGTGTTACATATGCCTGAACGCCGATTACCACGACATGCAATGCTAACTAGTGTTGTAGATAGTTGAAAGAAATTTAGGGGCGACCAAACCAAAACGTGGCATCAATGTTTGAAGTCACTAATTTCTAGTCTGAGCCATGTTGGTCGATGCAGACTAGTTGGTTGTGATCCGCGTGACTATCGTTACCAATGGTTGGAGACTCTTAGTGAGATTAAAATCGCTTCATATCTTTCCACGTATTATATCTCTATATGCAATCTTTTTTTATATAAATATTACCACCATTGAATTAACTACTTCTATGAATCCGGTGTTCATCTTGTTGTTCTAATGCGGTATAGCAATCTAGACCAATGTATATATGTGCCTGGATCTATATTTGCAGCTGACTGACTGACTATAAAAATCAATAATTTTCTTTCTTTTTTCTACTTAATATCTATAATCTTTTAATTCAAAAGTGTTTACCTCTATTGATTTAATCACTTCTCATATATTATTATTATTTTTGTTTTATTTCAACTAAATAAAATAAAAATATGAAAACTTTGTATTGTTATTAATCCATAGTTAGATGGTCTTTCTAAAATAAGATAGTTTGCTTAATATCTTACTAATATTGTGAATAATCATTATAGACATTTGGAAAGTATTAGTTAAATACATATATATTTGCATACATTTATTATGTTAGTTCCGAGTAATGATATATTATAGGTATTTTTATATATAATATACAGGTCAGTAAACAAATTTCTAGCCTAACTTCTTTAGTTTTATTGTTTTGGTTTTATTTCTTCTGTTTTTTTTTGTAACCAAAGGACAAATATGTCAAGGTTATATGAAGCATTATTTTTTTTGCGTTATAGAAGTATGCTCATTGTTGTGCCACATGGTTTACATAAGCAGAACATTATCATTGTCTTAAAACTAAATTTGTACATAATCATATATATATATATATATATATATATATATATATGTCTCCTAAACTTAAGAAATATATATTGAATATATTTATTAATTTATATGACTGTTGTGGATATTATTTGATCGATGTCATTAAAGATGATTATAAATGTTAGATGACTGAAGGTAGCTGAAAGGAAAACGCAAACTTGGGTTTCATGCTGGTTGGTGCTCAACAACATGCTCTACCTATAATGTTGAGTGAACTTAGTCGTCCACCTTCATAGTCTGAGGCTCTACTACTAAGTTATTTCCATCCATGTCCCTCTAGATTACAGTGACATTTTCTTAACTAGTGCTTACTAGCATGAAACTTACGTTCAGAATTTATTGTACGCGACCATTTAACACCTAAATACAGTGTATGTGATGTCAAATTACTTAAATTAATGAGTAAATTACAACTTGATCAATATAATTCGTTTAGTTCTTAAAAGATCAGTCAAACATGACACTGTTTTACATTCGATATAACTGAAAACTTTTTCTAGTTCACCCATAATACACTTCTGGCTAAATGTATTGTTATTTTGTGTGCAGCTGATCTATCGCTTAATTCGCTATAGAGATTGTGATATCTGTGTTTAATAATGACAAACTGTGATAAGGATTTTCCGATATGGCTATCGAAGTGTATACCGTCAATCACTACTCATTTATAGTAAATTATGAAACAAGTGAATAACAGGATATATTTATTAAACATTCACCAACTAAAATATGCATTCAAAATAAATGGAATATGACTAGAAGTGATATCCAGAACGTGCATTTCGTCACATCTGGGACCCTTCATCTGAATGTGCCTAGATATAAATTAATATTCACCCCGAGATTCAAACCCTGTACCTTTGACTTCAAATATCTAATGCGTTATCCACTTAGCTAATGAGTTTCACTTATGAAAATTGATATATTGAAACAATCTGCACAATATTCACATATGCTGATTAAGACTGATCAAAATTCAGTCAAAAACATTAACAGGATTATCCAAAACTACTACAAATTAAAGTTATTCAAAATTTGATACGACTGGAAACATTATTATGCGTTAAATCTGTTGAGCTTTATGGTCTAAGCTTAAAGGTTTACCATCCTTCTTAGAAAAAACTATTAGCAATATAAACTTCCAATTCAGTGAGTGTAACTCCACCAAAATCGTCCTACGAATGTATAAATCTTTCCGATCACCTCACGATCTATTTTCAATCTACATTGAACTAATTTGAGTGAGCTTATTAAATTTCAAGTTGCAACGGGACTTCAGTAGCCTGATATCTCCTATTGGATCGCGTGATTATCGTTATCGGTTTAGACGTATAACCAATCCTTGCACATAAATATCAACTTAAATCGCGTTTGTGAATAACGGAATTAAATAACACGAGAATGGATTTTTAATACATATAATATTTTATACAATCGTTGATCCAGACAAACGATCAAAGAAACGAAGCAAAACAAAATGATGCACGGTGGAGAAGGTATGTGGGCCAACTCGCTTTAATCAAGCCTTAATCGATATTTATAATCAAACGAAAACAAATTACAAATATGTGATGAATAGGATAAGCAATGCACACACATACGGCGTGGTGCGGGATCGTGGATGCGCACTGCTGAGGAGTCCCATACTAGGACGAAACGGCCGTCCAGTGCTTCCAGGTTTTCAATGGTGGTCTAGCTTCAACTGACTCATGATTTCAATCTGTGAAAAATACATAAAAACATTCAAAGTTGATAAGCGAATACTCAGCAAGGTCAAAACGTGACTTTAGAAAAATAAACCAGTTGGCCTGTCCAAAAGCTATAATAAGCCATATGGGCTAGCATATCACTACAGCATATTGTAAAAAAATCCCATCATATATTTACTATTAAATAATTTAATCTGTTTTATGTTTACATTTAAGTGCTTACACTATTTTGAAACTTCGCTTCTTTTTCATTTATATAATGGGATATGTTATTCACCGTAAGGAAATCCTATTTATATACTGGTTGGTTATGTCATTCAATTGGAAACATTAGTACTAATTCATTTGCATCGTGACAAAGTTGACAAACAGAAAAGAATGAATAAATTTGACATCGAATGTTGATTATCAGAATGTGTTTTGTGGAGATTTTTAGAAATTTTCACAGATTGAAATCATGAGTCAGTTGAAGCTAGACCACCATTGAAAACCTGGAAGCACTGGACGGCCGTTTCGTCCTAGTATGGGACTCCTCAGCAGTGCGCATCCACGAACCCGCACCACCCGGGGCTCGAACCCAGGACCTACTGGCTCCGAGCGCGAGCACTTAACCATTAGACCACTGAGCCGGCCGGCATCCAACGGTGTTAATGTCTAACTTCAACCAATCCACGAAGTTGCGCTACCGTACACCATTGTCTCCAGTGAGTTCCTATCTCACAACAGACCTGGTTGAACTCCACTGGTAACGACTTCTCACTAGAACTCCAGAAGTGTCTCCTGAAGTCAGTCACTAGTGAGCAGGTGATTATTATTATCAGAATGTGTTTTGTGGAGCTTTTTAGAAATTTTCACAGATTGAAATCAATTGAAATCGAATGTTGATTATTGACAAATTAATGTAAATGAAAAATTCTATTTACACAATTTATAAATGTATATTAAATTAATTTTCTGTTTCATTAACACTAACATTGGAAATCGATCTATTAACTTACTACCTAAGTTTCATTGTTTAAAGTTGAATTAAAAATAATATCTTAAAAGAAATTCTACAATCTACGACTAATGTTTTCCCCACGACCAATAATCACTACGAGGTTGGAAGATAAATTAACTAGAATAGCCACCTCCTTCTGTATCTATCAATTCAACTGCTCCTGTGAAGAAAGTTATATTGGCAGATGTTCTAGGAATTTGTACATTCGGGCTCGTGAGCACCTCCCCGTGTGGTTAAGTAAAGGTGCAGTCAAAACTGTTAACAGCTCCATCTTAGACCATCTAGTTCAAATAGGACATACAGCCAACATAGAGCAATCTTTTGCAATAATCTATCGTGATAACAGGAGTCTACCTAATTCTGTCAGACTGCGAATCCTACAGACGGCTGAAGCAATTGCTATTCGGATAAAAAAGTCAGAGGTTTGCATCCAGAGAAGTATGTTCAGCCACTCCTTTTACCCTGGCCAACTTTGTGGCCAACTAGTTAATAATTAATTTTAAAATATGGTGACGTAATCTGATTAATGTTCATTTTATGTCCTAAACATTATTATTATTATTATCTTAACCACTGTGATTATCATCTTTATCATTGTTATTATCATTATCTTTACACTTGATAACCTTTTGAGGAATTTATTCAATATCCACCCCTAAATCTACTATATCTGACCTAATTCATATGATTCTACATATTACGTAACTTCAGATTTTTATTCCATTAGTTTCTCTCTCACCCCATGTTGACCATATTGATTCTGATCATTATTTATCGCACAATTTCATTTCACTTATAAACTGATTCAAGTGAACACTTTATATTAAACAACCCCAACATTAACAATCTGAATTGATTTTATATATGACAAACAATAATTCTCAATTCACATATTACAATTTCCAAATGATGATGTACTCTGCCTACAATTTGGCCAATTTTATGAATTATTCATTCGGATATGACATAAGTGTAGAACCTGATGAGAAATTCATTGAAAAGAATATTCTTCATTCATATGAATTGTGTTTTAATTTTAAAATTAGTTGTTTAGTGATTTGTGTAAAATAAAACAAAACTGAATTGATGTCTCTATGTGATAATTCAGTAATTTAATTAATAAATAATCTGTCATTTGTTTAATTAATAAAACTATGCTCAGTATTATAAACATCAAATACAGTCAACAAAGTACAGTTTATAAGGTATTTCAATATTACCGTTTATATCATTATTGAAGTTTATGAAGTAAAATCTAACTGATCAGCGCATATACATTTACATTAGTAGGATAACATCAAGTAATTGAATTTCATTTGTTTCCTTATCTTTTATCAATGCTCTTAATCCTATTTCCTTTTCTGTTGTTGTTGTTTCCTTCTTACTTTCCAGGTTTCAAGGAGTACAGGTGTCGATTTTAAACAATTAAGATTTTGGAGTGCTTTTTATTGTTCTATATTTGGTTTCATATTTGTCGGTTGTAATATGTCTGGGATAGCCAAACATATAAGAAGATCAGTAGAAGAAGTATATAATTCATTTATTGGATTTTTCTTTTTACTTAAAGCATTATTTACAATGTTTTTAGTAAGTGGTTTGATACAAGTTTGATTCTTTGTTTTTCATTTTTATTTTGTAATTAATTCAAATGATTGTTAATTGATGTAGAAATAGTCTACATTTTAAACAGGCTAGTAGTTTTGTTCTAGTATAGAATCCTTCAGAATAGCTCAGGCACGATCCCTTATGAAAAGGAGCTCAGGACCTTAAAGCTTCGCTAAATGACTTTCGCCCTAGGATCATTGTGCTAGAATCCAATGGTATTTATATCCTTGTTACACCAATAATATTGTATACTTTGGTCCCCATTTTATTAGTCGACTGGTATAAATATATTTGCAGAACGTCTGATAGCCTGCCAAACAGAACAATACAAATGTGTAATGGACGAGAACACAAGTGGGGACAGTCGAATTTATTTAAATACGAAATTACAGGATATCTTAGTAAAATCTGAGAACCATACAGTAAATACTTAATTTACAAAGTGCCAATCAATCATCTCATACTTCGCTGTTCCTTCATTTCCATAACAATCGTTCTCTGTTCTCGTTCTCTCTACTTCGATCTTCTTAACCTTGTACTATCAGGTATTTCACTTTCGATTTATGATACATACTACTTATATCTGTCGACATCAGTAGCACACACAACAAATGTACTCCATTAAAATAGTATATTTTTCTCAGTTCTTTGTTTTCCGGTTGTATAATAATCGATTGATGTTAAACACAGAATGCCTTATAACAGTATATAAATCATATCACCAATTCAACTAGGGTAAGCTATCATTTATCTGTAAACCAACACCGTATAAAGTGTTTTCTATAAAATAAACTTCTATGAGTTATTTTATACTACTTCATTTAAGCGATACGAAAAATGACAGGAATTTTTTTGTATTAACTACGTTCATCTTAGAGTATATGTTTGGACGACAACTAGTTTGATACTGTTTCCCATTATTCTATTTGAAATGTTCTAAAGATTATTGATCACTTTAAATGTTTTAACTTCATTTAACTTCACGTAATTTTTTTTTTGCTCAAAGACCACACTATTAAAAACACAGCTAATTTTAAAAGAGACATTTCACCAATTTTAGGAAACAGTTGCCTTTATAATAAAGAAGAATTTACCCTTTAAACTTGTTTAATCCTTTGATATGAAACAAAAGGTAATATCTCTCGATAGCAAAACGAAAGTTTTGTTAATTGCTAACAATTGTATGATCAGGGTGACAGTTTAATTGAAAGTTGTATATATTAATGATCGTTTAGCCTCCCATGGGACTGGTAACATAAGTTTTACAATATTTTTGCGATGGTCTCAACCTACATATTTAAAGCGGTCATCTTACGACTAGCACTTCTTCTTCATAGAGATAAAATCTATGGGGCTTTTAGGGGACCTATGATCGCTGGAATGATTAGTTTAGCTGTCTTACTAAACAACATCATCAACATAAACTTTCTGTAAATGTGTCAGGAAATTCTTATTGCTCACTTATATCTGAACTTTATACTACTGATGATTTTGTCAAGAAAGACAATTGGAGCTTCAGAATTGAAGCATCTGACCCAAAGAATTCAACCCAACAAAAATCATCATTCTGAACAACAAATCTCCACTACCTCGAAATTTATACTGTTTGATTAACAAGAATTTACATTTTTCTAGTGAATATAATTGGGTTCAAACAATACGTCTTCATTATATCGGTCAACTTACTAACCGAGTAGAATTACATTCAACTGACAAAGAAATTAATAGACAGTTAACTATCACTGGTTCCCTTATACTTTTCTTTGTGTGATCGAACTCTTGGACAATATTAATGTAGGTCTATAGATTACAGTTATAACAGTGTATTTGATACTGTTATACCGTTGTTAATAAATTCAGTTTGCATACAACTGAATATTACAATGAAAATAAGTAATATGAAATTAATTTATATATGATATATATGGTATGTCTGGTCAACAATAGCAACTTGAGATCAGGAAAGAACATAGTATACAGACTGATTTCCGTATTGGTTGTTTGAAATTAATTAACATATGTGTATACAGTGAGGAATATTTCGATATTATTACGTTAAATCACAAGTATAATAAGTAGAGATAGATGGTGGCTAGCTGTGGCATCCAGGAAGTGTGTTTTGTGCATTCCGCACAGGATGCACGTATGCCAATAAGAGACTGACCAATTAAGGTCCTAAACGTCAATGATAAGATTCAAGCAACTAATGCAAAAATGAATTAAACTTCATCCGATTGCATAAACTATTGGCTACCTGGACTCAGTAGCTGAGCTAATAAGGCAATGGCATTTGAAGTGGATAGTACTGATTTTGAGTCAGGGAGTGAACATCGACTTTGAGATGGAGGTACATTGAGCCGACAAGTCAACTAGTAATCGTCATATATCTCTGCTGATGGTATACAGATATTTTAATCTCCAATACTTTACATGACGCAATACATATTTCTGCTAGATTCTAGTTGTATCTACAATAAATGTTGCGTAAGTTACCATTGAGAGTAAATCGCTAACCTAGTAAAGGCAAGCTTGTATGTCTAAAGTAAGAAATAGTAACACAACTTTATGAATCATAGGTCTTTATGATGTATTTTCGGGGTGAAGAATTATTGAAAAGTTGTTTGTTTCTTGTTCAAGCATACTAATTTTTAGAGAATTCTCGGATCTTTGAAGATTTAATCTCTTCAGGATCATTTATTTACTAAACCGACTACATAAATTCTTCAGCCAGCATTGCCTTAATATTCTCGAGCTATTTTTCCGTTTAGAAGTTTGTTCGCATTAAATAGTATTGTGGAAATGGCTTAAAAATTTGAATACTTGAACATCGACTGCTTTAGCTTGAACGATTGAGTAATATCATTAGCATATGGCCCTAGGATCGTTGTACTAGAATCCAATGGTTCAGAATTCAAACTTCGGTATTTATATCTTTGTTAGACCAATATCACTGTATAGTTTGGTCCCCACTTTATCAGTCAACTGGTATAAATATATTTGCAGAACGTTTGATAGCCTGCCAAAGGTAATATCTCTAGATAGCAAAACGAAAGTTTTGTTAATTGCTAGCAATTGTATGATCAGGGTGACCGTTTATTGACTTAAATTGTAAATTCAGTTGTTTGGTTAGACAAGTCATCAAGAAACAGATCACTTTTAATCATGATTAATTCACCTAACAGAAATGATTAGGAGTTTTAGCTCATGAGATTGAGTTTATGAAATAAGTAATTCACTACGTTTCATGAATTGTCATACATGAAATTAGATGATCTTACGATGAATACAAACATTAGTTAAGTATATCTTCCTTTTTAATGAAAACAAATATTTTCCATATTTATTTAATCCATCATGTTTATTACTAATAATCATATTAGCAATAATTATCAAAATTTATTTTATAAATTTATAGTTGATTCCTGCTAAACCTGTGGATAACACTCCAATATCCAGAATGGCTTATTATCAAAAATTAGCAGTAGCTGGAGTTACACTATTTTTAGCATTTATAATGCTCCAGTTCTGTTTAATACTTGCTCAGTTAAAACGTGGGAATTACTTTAGAAGGAATGTAAGTCTTTTTAGGTATTAGATATTTTTTTTCCTTTTATATAAGTTTCATAATATAAAATCTGTTTTGTATCTTATCTTAAACGGTTCATACTGTCAATGTTAATCTTAATCAGTACATAGCTATTAGAAAAACAACATGTGCTCTACTGATTAATGTGACAGTTAAAGGTGCAAGTTTAATTTATGGACAACATTTGAATGGCTTTGAGAAACTTCAATTACTTTGTGAGGTCAAAATAGGGTTAAAAATTAGTAATCGGAGTTAGGAGTCAAGATTAAGAATTGAAATTAGAGTTTTCATAACAAAGTGATATAAATTTCAATGTCAAAATGCTAATTAGCTAAATGGATGAATAAATTTCCTGTCAAAATTCAAGATTCATTATCCTAAATCTGATTGATTCGTCTATGATTTATGGTCTCATCCAACTGAAATTTATTTCGTTTCAGTGCAGAACATGAAGCTATTTCATTAAAGTCAATAACTGTAATGCTGATATTCGATTACGTCTGCTTTTGAACGTTAATATTGCAAACAAATAAAGTTGTTAAAGTGATGCTGATAGAAATCTAGCACTTAGAAAAAATTTACTGATAAAAATCAACTTGCATCACATAAAATGGATGAAGTGACTAAATCAGTTCCTTCAAAGAACTGGATTTATAATCATGTTCCTCCTTAAAATGATAAGAAGCCACATCAATTAAAAAAGTGAGAATGAGACGAGTATAAATGGAAATACTAGTCCTGTTTTTTCTTCAAAATGAAACACTTTTTGATAAACAATTTTTTCTGTACCAAATAATTCTGCAATTGTGTTGTTTTATCAGTTAGGCCTAACTTTTGAACTTAACCAGTAACCAATGATATTTTAGCCAACCAATTTATTTGTACATTTTTCTACTTGATATATATATGTATATAACACGTAACTCATAGAAAAACTAAAATCATGAATTCAGTTATAGAATTACAAAAATCATCAGTGACTGGCTTCAAAAGTTCTTTCTTGTAGTTCTAGTGAGAAGCAGTGACCAGTGGAGTTCAACTGTAAATCACTAAAGATAATGGTGGACGGTGGCGCAGTAGCCGGCTAAGTGGTCTAGTGGTTAAGCGTTTGCATGAGAGACTGATAGGTCCTGTGTTCGAATCTCGCGGGGGCGGGATCGTGGATGTGCACTGCTGAGGAGTCCCATACTAGCACGAAACAGCCGTCTAGTGCTTCCAGGTTTTTCACAATGGTCTAACTTCAATTGACACATGAATTTAATTATAAAATTACTAATAATCTTCACTGAAATCCCTTTCTGAAAATAAATATTTATTAAAAAAACAGAATGAAACCTATTCAAAATATAGATTTCATTATGTAAATGTTTAAATGGATAAAATAAAATGTTTACTTTTTTAAATTAAAAAAAAGAAGAGATTTTTGGCAATAGCTTATTCATTCATTAAATCATCAATTATTCATTTAGTGACTTATATATAATTCGTTAAAACAATCAGTTTTAAGACCAAAAATCGTTTCTAAAGTCAATCATCTTATAAAATATCAACTAGATAACTATGGTTAATTATAAAGTACTCGATATCTGTTTTCTATTAATTCATATCTTATTATTAACAAGCACTTTATCATCTTATGCGAGATCAAATATATAACCCTTAAAGCAATAAATGGTTTTATATTTCATCCTATTTAACATTGTTATTATACATTATTGAAGTGATGTCAATGAAATCTAAATAACTACTCAAGATTTCTTAGTTCAATAATACTTAATTACTCCTGTTAGGCCGCCGACCAGCATTCTCCAATCTACTCTGTCCTGAGCCTTCCTTTCCAGTTTTGTCTAATTGCTGTTCATTTATCTCACGTCTATCTCCATTTCCCGGAGTAATATGTTTTTTTGTCTTCCTCTTCTCCTCCTTTGGCCTTGAGGATTCCAAGTGACGGGTTGCCTTGTGATACATTTGGGTGCTTTCCTCAATTTGTGTCTTATCCACTTTCAGCACTTCTTCCTGATCCCCTCTTCCACTAGAATATGGTTTTTTCTCTCCCGCAGTAGGTTGTTGCTGATAATAAGGGGCCAACCAATCCAAAGTATTTTGCGTAGACAACTGTTAATAAACAATTTCATCTTCTGGATGATGGTTTTCGTAGTTCTGCGAGTTTTCGCTCCATACAGTAGAAGTGTCTTGACATTTGTATTGAAAATTCTGACCTTAGTGTTGGATGACACTTGAATTCAACAATAGATCATCGTTAAAATCATTTTTAATTTGTATTAATCTTTTACTATTACTTATCAATATTTAATTACTTCCTGTTTCTGTCAGGATATTAAACTATAATCTGTTTTCGTATTTATTACCAATCTATGTTCCGTTCTAATAAAAATGAAAAGGTATTTATAAACATTTACACTAATTTACATATTTTTAAATAAACAAAAAAACACTAGTTTGTGAACAGTTTTTTCTTAAAACATATTCTATTTAATACGTGTGTATCTAGATTAGAAAACTTCTGGGTGCTTTAAATGTCCCTCTTGGTATGTTACTTATTACTGGATTGGAAAGAATATTCTTTAGAGGTTATAATTTACCTACTGTAAATATACCACCATCAAATCAAGTTAATGCATCGACATGGGTTAATCCGCCGGACTTTGCACGTTTACAAGATTATAGTAAAGCTGCCCCAACACTTATTCATGGAACTTCAATAGCTATTGGGGTGGCATTGGCTATTATTATATTTACAGAAGCAGCTTTGAATGGGTAAGTATTGGAATGATTATTAAATATAATAATTTTTTATCAATCGTAGTAATGTGTGTTGTTGTACTGATTGTTTGTTGAATAGTGAACAATATAGTGTTTTTTCTAATCTAAATTTCTGATCAAATTCTACTGATTATTCTCACTGTGACCAGTAGTCTTATCAATTCATGAAATCTCGGGAGTTCCACAGGCACTAATGATTAAATAAACACTACATATTAATCAGTCTGCATAATCATCCAATGCTTATGGAAGGGGATCATTAAAAGCTCAAATAACTCAACAGTAAGATTGGGTGGGGTGGGCCGGAGTCCAATGAACAGATTCAGTTCCCTATGTGTTTTAAGCATTCCTTGGATATGAATGTCAACTAGCAGGAAACTTGGGTTAAGCAGAGCTTCTTTCAGATGAAATACAATTAACCAACAGTTTCTTGAATGATAATTAATAAACCTTTTCATTATGAAGTTGAGGAACACATAATATAAAATAAAATTAAAGAAAATGAATTACAAGATACAAGTTAACAGAAACAAAGGTTATGTTAAGTAAAACTAAGAAGAACATTTTACTTGTTATTGAGGTTAGTATATATTTGTGAGCACTTAGTTACATGATTTCGTCATTATTACACTGAAGCATTTTAAATTAACGCTTTGCATCAGCTCGTTGATAGATTTTCTGCAGCTAACATATATTCCTTATCACAATGTCTACTACAATGATATAAACACATCTAATATGGTGAATAAACGAAAAGAATGTTCTCTCTATATGAAGGAAAGCACATACTTCAGTTAAATCTCTAAAACTTTCATCAGAATATAATAGACATTTACTGTTAAAATATTCACAATACAAACAGTTCTATTCCATTGGTCGAAATCTGAAATTGCTAAGCATATTGAGAATGATTCCTACTTTCAGTCAGTTAGGACACTGACAAAAAATCATGTAAACGTAGACCAGGTTAGCATAGCAAACATTCGATATCCGGATGGATATAAAGATAACTAGATGTTTAAAAATATCTAATCTATAGCATGGTCAACATTTACAGAACCACTCTAAAATACCTACTTATGTTTCAAATAAATACTTATGAAGTTGTCCAGAACGATTACTAAAGTTTCACATATAAACCACACAGCTCTGAAAACACAATATCATCTATGTTATTTACTTGAGCCAAGTATTTTCTCTATCATCCACTTATCATAGCAGCAAAAGTTTTTTAAAAATCAGAATATATTCTTATTTCATTTCAATTATAAGCCATGACAAATGAAAACCAAATTGTGAGTTAGTCTAATAGAGCATAATATACTAGGTAAGAATAGCTTAACTGTGGTCGCAAACATTATTCAGCTCACCATCCTTAGTATCTCATTTTCTATAAGAGTTTAAAAATTTCTTAATTCTGCCTCATTTCGAAATATTTGGGGTATAATTCTGTATATATTGTACCTAGAGTGAAACAGATCTAACAATATACACATATTTTTTTATTTTATTTTCTGAATTCAATGAATTTCTCATCTTTATCATGCTATGAATCAATAGTAGTTAAGGTTATTATTTACTTTGATTTTGATTCACGTGGTTTACTCATGTGGATAGTTAAAAAAAGTAGTAAGCTACAGTTTGACAGTGTATACTACTTTACATACAAGATACACAAGTATATAAAAAAGAAGTGTTTATGTCTGTTACATATCTTTTTCTCCTTGTTGTTGTCCTAATTCAATTTTCATTTTGATCCACCTATGTTTCATGTAATTTCTTAAACAATTTATCATATCATTATCAGACTATCATTCTTATAGTCTTTATTTAGTTGCTTACGTATAATTCACAAACTTACTGTTTGTTACAATTGATGAAATGATAATTTTATAAAGAAAAATAAGATAAAGGGAAAATTTAAGATGAAAAGATCATCAGTTAAATAATTTTTAGAAGAACTATCAACAGTTCCTGATATGAATTACATAGGTTCTCTGTGAAACCATCAAATGAACGAGAACTAAATGATTTCATGTATAAAGTTTTGTTGGATCGGTAGATCCTAATACAACACAACTGTTCTTCATTCCATAGGACCTGATCACAAACCAATTACTTTATATTTTCATATTAGCAAAACAAAAATGACTTTCCTTTATTGTAAACATTGGATCATCATGATTGAATACATTATTTTATAATGTAGATTTTAATAAAATTAAATGCTAATAAGTGTAGCGATCAATCGCCAATATTTAGTTTGAACACAGAACTAACGAAGCAAAATTTATTCGATTAGACCAGACTACGTTCTTCTGTATAGCGTACGAAAAGTTTTTGAGTTACTCGTACTAAATTATGTCAAAACACTAATTTCGTGCTCAACTTAAACGGTTCTAATTAAGGAAATAGAACAAACTATATCAAAAATACAAAATACCTCAAACGGTACAGCCTATGCTAGACAGTCAAGGGTTTCTCTAACACAAATTAGCGTGCTAAACAACAAAAGAACTAGTTAATACATAAAATGTTAATACCTGAGAATCAATAAAAATATTTCCAACAAGATTGGATCAGATATCTATCTTCAGGGATTCCAGGAACCATTCCAAGCAGAGAGTCAAAGGTTAACAGTCACACACTGAACTACACCGTGATCTTGAGCCTAGTCAAACACGACCTTATTGTCGATAGCTCGGCAACATGCAATAAAAAACTAGGTAACAAAAGGTATGTTTTTAATCAGTCACATAATAAAAAGCTCAGATGAGGAAGACAGAAAGACAAAAAATGTAGTTAAAAAGAGATCTGAATAAAGGTTGAAATACACGAAAGGGATAAGAAACAAATAAATGACAGTACTGTCCAACAAAAATGCTGTGGAGTGATTTTCAGCCTTTACTTTCTGTTACAACAGGTGTTCCAATAGTTTTGAAACATATTTGCAGCTTTCCTGTAGTTCATGAAAAGAAAACCATCCTCTTGATTATCGAAAAACCTATGGCCAATGAGTGTGAACAATATTTGAATATATATATATATATATATATATATATATATATATATATATATTTGGTCCGTGTTGAAAGTATATTTGATTACTTTAGACTAGATCATATAGCACCCTACTGATTGATATCATAATAGTCCAACATTATTTCACTGTTATCCACAGTTTTCTATTCTGTAGAGTAGCTATCTATTAGTACTCACTTTCATCTCTAAAATGCATCTAAAAGAAGTCTGTAATTGATGCAACATAAAATAATTCAAGGTGTTGCACAAACCAGTAATTTTTCTTTGAATTTCGAACAATGTAACATCAGTTTCATAGTAAAATCACACAACTCAAAGCTAAACTGGACTTTTTAACTCTATACAAAGAGGGACTAAAATATATTTGTGAAAGTGTTTGTGAAAGCAACTGTAGATCAGTCAACTATAGACGTTCATCAAAATTCAGTATTTCACCAAGTGATTCAACGATAATTCTCTGTAACAGAGTAGTAAATTTTCATAAATCGATTTGTACGGTGTATGCCTAATGATGCACAGAAATACAGAAACAAAGTTTCCGTTAATAAACTTAGATATTGTTAACAAGAAACAAAACACATTTATTTATTATTCTTGAATTCTAGTTACTAAAGTATGTCTATCTAGCAATTCAACATGATCCGTTCCGCGCCCCCTAAAATGATCAATGATATTGAATCATGTTAGAGTTGTCTAACCAAGATAAGTGATTTTTTCAACGACCTCTTACATGTGTTCAATTGATATTTGTCAAGTGAATGAAACAAAATTTGTGTTTTTGACTAGATTAATTATTACTTATACTTTATTGTCAAATATTTTAATCTTCATTTCCGAAAAAATAAATTCTTATCAATAATTTTAATCATTTTTTTTTCTAGTTTTGTTCAAATAAGCTTTTACTTATTCAGTTCATCTACATTCAGTATAAACGTAGAGTTTCTGTAGAGACCGGTTTAATTTGTAAATGATACTTTAAAAAGATTGATCTTATCTGAAAGTTCTACTTGCACCTTCTGATAGCAGAAAGAAATAGTTGTTTAGAGTACCACGGTTTTAAGTGGTATCTCAGTTGAAATCAGTCTGTTATAAAAACCACTTACAAAACAAAAAGCTCATCTGGACAAAATACATTTAATAGTTATTTAGATGTATAGATGTAGATGGACTTCAAAATGAGTTGCTCAAGTTGTAGTGAGAGGCCATGATTGATGAAATTAAAACAACGGTCATTCATTGATTGAACATATTTTCGTTTCTAGAATAACTGCTATCTTCCTACCAATATATATGTATATATAATGTGTTGAATTTTAGCACATCACTATTAAGCCAACAAAGTCTTTAAATAGCTTATATCTCCAAATTCAGTCAATAAGTGATGTAGTGAACAAGAACGCAAGCGGGGACAAGAGAGCAACTTAGTAAAATTCGAGAACCATACAGTAAATACTTAATTTGCAAAATATCAATCGATTGTCTGAAACTTGACTGTTCCTTTTTCATTTTACAGTCAATCGCCTCAGACTTCATTGTTCTTTTACTTCCACAGCAATCATTCTTTGTCCTTGCTCTTTTTCCTTTGATCTTCTTAACCTTCTGCCTACAGACATTCCACTTTCGTTTGATGACACATACTACTTACATCTGTGGACATTAGTAGGACATATCATATATTACTTTGATAATTATCAAATGTTGACCGGAACATCTGTCTCATATCCAATATGTTTGGGCTCCACTTATCATGGCTTGTCACCTAAATTTCAAGAATTCGTATTTAAGCTAGTCACTCATTGACTCCATACAATTGAACGAAACTCTCTAATTTACTGATCGCATTTATTAGCAACTAAACTGTAAAATGTCAATACCGATTCTCGAGTAGTACAATACTTTTTAACAATGTATTAAAATGCATTTAAACTTATTTCTATTTCTGATAACAGTTGTTACTTCCTTACGTTTACACTAATTTCTTTTGCGATACTTGGAACATGACGATTTTAACGAATAATCAACTATGATATTTGATTATGTACTGTATAAAAATTTGAGAAATCATTCAATCTAATGTTTGGTTTATTATCGTTCCAAATATCATAATGGTGGTTCGACTTTTTATTCAAATGACCAACAATTTACGGTGAAATGAAGCGATAAACAGTGATCTACTAACTTTTTTCCCATTAAGTAATCTGTGCAATTATACCTTATGATAATATTCTCTATTTCTTATATACTCCATTTTCTAACTGTATGATCTTTTTTATTTTTCTATAAAAAAAGCTTAACAGCAATGAAAAATAAAGCTGTGAAACCGAATATTTTTGTTATGGATTTGGTATTGTTACAAATTATTTTCCCTACGATCAGTGGAATAACTGGTTGGCCATTTATGTCTGGTACAACAGTTAGAACACTTAGCAATCTTGTTGCCCTAGTCAAAATGGATCAAAGTCCTGCACCTGGTATGCCTCACAAGTATGTGAAACATACAAAATGATATTGTTTATTAAATATATTTATGGTTGAATAAAAAAACAAGTCAACAGTGCATTTTCATTTAGAAACTGATCCATTTTATGGACTGATTTATGGTCATTTGTTCAGTTTGAACATAGATTTTTATTTCCTGTTAATATTGATTCGTGATAGTAACTGTTATAGGAATGTTTTTGCCTCTTCTTGTAATTCTATGGATTGGCAGAGATTTGTAAGCATTTCGCCAAAGTTGAAGATTAATTTAAAGATAGTTCTTTAAAGAAAATCTATTGGATTGCATCGTTTTCTTAATATTTACTGAAATAGTTCTTATGTTCATGAAGAGTTATAATACGTAAAAGGAGTTTTATTTCACCTAAAGTTTATTAGGATTGATGATAAACCTTTCCGTGATACACAACTTATCGTGTTACTTTGCTTCATGATGTATTAATTATTCATCTCTGTGAAATAATGAAAGTGGACAGTATTAAAAACTTCAATCCATCTAAAACGAGATACCATATTATTAATAATATGGTCAAATTATTCAGTTATATCATTAAACTGAAGATTTGAAAGAAAATACCAAAAAATAATGGCTTATAAAAGGTGAAAAGCATAACAGCATAGTCGTTAACAACTTGAATATTTTTTTCTCATTTAAAGTAAGTACAAGCGATTTTCGGCGTGAACACGTTAATGACTTTTGTGGAAAGAGTTTACCTATGCCTAATTAGGATTATTTTAGGAATTTTTTTCCTCACTTTAACCCATAGCTCTTTCTTTAATGCCCGATATTAAACTAATTTTAATATACTATGAATTCCTAGTAAGTCACTATATTCTTATGAAACCATATGTTAACAGCGCATAATGAATACTCTTCTCTATGGTATTGAGGAAACATATTTTATCAAGTGTTAAATATTCCTATAAATAAAGGATTTTATTTACCTCGAGGATTGCATAATGCATTGATATTCCTGTCTTAAATTTATAAACTTTTCACTGCTTATTGTACAAAAATATTTAAAATGTTCCCATTCCTTCCGCCCCTTCTCACTTTTGTGAGACGATATACTTGTTCGTTATTTCCAAGTTCCTGCTTGGATAAACCAAAAAAATATTTCCACTTTTTAAGTAATGATATACTAGAGGACTATCTGTTTTCGAACGCTAACTCTAGTGACTGAACATTAAGCCATCTGTATTTATCACTGAGAATTTTGCGGTCGTAGTATTGAATTATCAGATATCCTTTCAGAGCAATAGTTCATTGTTCTGTATTAACAATTCATTCAGCTTGTTTCACCCTATTTATGAAACAGTACCGTCATTATGTAATAGAATAATTGATAAATTTTATCAATGACCTATGTAATGATGTTACTTTTTATGACTAATTTTTACGTATGATTCTATCATCTTGTAAAATTCAACCATAAACGTTGGAAAAAGGAACGAGACATTTTTTTCCACTGGTCATGTTGCTTTTGTATTCTGCACATCATGATGATAGCGTGCCAAAGTTTCATTAAAATACATTATATTCCACAATAACAGTTGCTTGTAAGCTATTAAATAAATATATTGTTGATGAGTTGAATTTCCAATTGGACACTACTATATATAATCAAACAAACTCTAGGCATGAGTGATTAACAATAATCGTTATTTCGATACTTTGTTATTGACGTGAACATGTGATATATATCTCTATATGTTTGTTACTATTTAAAATCCTTATAATTATTGTACTTACTAAAACGCATTACAAAATATGATAATTGTTCTTGGTGGAGTTTTGTTCTCTGAGCTGGATGGTTTGGTCGTGGAGCTTTCATCGTTCTTCTGAACGACATCATCAGCACAAACTTCAGATAGAAGTGAAGTGTTCGAATTTCTCCATTTGTGTTTCACAGCTTATCCTGTGCACCTCGATGTTGATTGGTTCTTATTGACCTTAAATTTGTCATTGTTTACTTCTTTGTTTTGGTTGTATCTCCCATTGGTTTGATTTTTGTTCCTATATTTATGCATGATTTTCCTGATTGGTTGGTAAATTGGATTGATTTCAATATGCTTGTTGATTGCTGATTGACCTGAGTGCCAGGCTTCTAAAAATTCTCTGGTGTTTTTGGAGTTTCCTCTGTTGTTCCTTAATGTTCGAAATAGATTACTTGACTTAGTATGTAGTTCTGTACTGTTTGGGTTTTTAAAAGACATGATTTTCTTTTAAAAGGGAAATTCAGTTATTCTTCTTGAATCCAAATTCGTCTAAAATATATTCTGACTTCTATATTCGTTTATGTATAACCCTATAGCTCTTAAACATAAATACATTCATAACTAACCATAGAAATTCTTCTGTTGCTTTTCCAAACTACCTTGAATAACATAAAATGCAGTATTATTTACATTGTGGATAAATACAATATTCTATGAATGTTTTATATAATTATCTTTTATATTAGAAGACAAATATTCACTGTAAAGAGATTACATAAGTTACTGTAGAATTGTTCGTGGTCAAAACACAGTCGATAAATTTTTTGCGTTGATAGCTAGTGTTGTTTGAAGCGTGTAATACAAGCGATAATAGGATGTTAATAAAAATTTATTTTTCATTGTAGGATTGTGGGAACAGTAGAGCAACGAGTTAGCGGTGTATTTGTGGGAATCCTTGTTGCGCTTTCAATATTCCTTGGATCTATATTAAGCAACATTCCATTGGCTGCACTCTATGGAATGTTTTTATACATGGGCGTAATGGGACTGAGAGATTTAACATTTGTTTTAAGGATATGCTCCTTAATGAAGCGTCGAAAACACTGGGAAGATTGGGAATGTGTTCGTGGTCTTCCTAGTAGGCATATACTAGTCTTCTCACTTATTCAAGCTGCAGTTGTCTTAATTCTAGTTTCATTGAATATAATTTCTGATTTTACAGTAGCCAACTATGTTGGTCTTATCTTTCCGATCATTATTCTCATCTATGGCCTTATTCGTGAATTTGCATTACCTAAATGGGAATGGTTGGCGTTATATTTGCATCAAGTATGCTCAGTTATTTTACTTTTGTTTGGTTTTATAAAGTATAACCGATGTATAAAATGTTTGTATTATCTATCCCTTATTTTCAATCAGTATATTATCGTCATTTAAGTCTATGTTCGTCCGTTCCCTACTTTAACTTGCTTAGAAGTTACTAGTGTTTTGTCAAATGGAGAACATTGGTCTTTGACCAGAGTGTACATTAATTGTTCTCAATAAACAATCAAATAACATCTTTTGGATGAAATATTCGCAATTCATAGACAATAATTCACCTGAAATAATAAAGCATTTTAAGACAGTTCAGTGAAGAGGATTTACTTTTCGACAATATCACTTACGTAGGTTATACAACCGTACTTATGGTTAGTTTGCACAAGCAAGTACCGGATTGCTGAAAAGTTAACAAAAGTTAATCAAAAATTCAGATCTCAAGTACCATTTATGTAGTAGTAGAATCAGTTAACTGAAAATAAAGTATAAAAACAAAGAAGCGTGAAAGTTAATTTTCCACTTGATGAACACAAAGAAGAATTAAACACATGTCAAAAATTATGACAGGCTAGGATCAGCGTAAAATTGATAATTGGGCACAACAAGTTTGATTATAAAAACCAACCTTTATTGACTGAATACCATAGTCTCTGGAATGTATACATTTGTAATCCAACTTCTTTTAAAGCCAGTACATTTAACTCTGACGATAATTTTGGACGAAGATTCTGATCAATTTCGCTCTTCACACTCTATGGAACTGGACAGTAATAATACTTTTTAGGTGATTATGGATTATGAAAGTATGCAATAAATAAAATATTTGATTAGACAATAGTAAACTTGGAATGAAACATGATAATTATTACACATACATTAATCACTAACTGAATCAGTTCACTGAAAAATTTTTCCAACAAAACATTATATAAATAAAAAAAAATACTAAACTAACCACCTAAATACTCTCCTTCATGATTACTTATTTTAAAATTTCTAACCAAGTTCTAATTAAAAATGTTATTTTTCAGTTGTTATATCCCTCCTCTACAGGTTTATTTATCTTTCATTATATTTATTTTCAATATTGGCAAACAACTATATCAAACATTGTTAAAACTTACTTACTTACGCCTGTTACTCCTCGTGAAGGAGCATAGGCCGCTCATCAGCATTCTCCATCCAATTCCGTCCTGGGCAATCCTTTCCAGCTCCTTCCAGTTGTTTTTCATCCATTCATTTATTAAAATCGTTTAAAAATATATTTATAGAATGTTGAACTTAAAACTTGGAATTTATCTCTACATCAAGATTGTCTAATCATTTTAATTAAATTGTTGTACGCCATAATTTTCTATTAACACCTTAGTTAAGATGTAACTTAAGGATTTCTAATTGAACAGGTCATTCAAACAAATAATTTGCTTATATTATCAAGTAATCTAATTCTAACTTGGTATTCATCGTAGTTTGATCTCATTTAAAACGCCACTGAAAACGAGAGAGTGCAGGTCAAATGTTTCGTTCAAGTATGGAATTCCTCATCAGAGCGTGTTTATTACCTTCGAACTCAGTGATCTGACGGTAAAGTGATTTCTATAGGACCTAAATGTTTTAGGTTTAACACGTAGTAACGTTTAGAGATATACATCAACGAGTAGTCTCAAAGCATAAAAGTAAAAGCTCTTCTGTTTTCAATAGTACTCAAACGAAGATTATTCTGGTTTTAATATCATCTTCACGTTTACTGATATATTGTCAACAATGATGAACTAATAAAATATCAAGTTGATCTCAGTTATACTTACTGGTACCACTAAATTCCATCAGCATAAATAATAATCAAAAAACCCATAAATTCCATTTTATGAAGCTCATCGATTTCAAGAATACTATAAAGCTTATGACTGAGATACTCGATCCCAAAGACTCACGTAAGTAAAGATGTCGTTTACTTCAAATAGGATTCATGCACTTAAAGAAGCATTCGAATCTAGTATCCTAGACAAGTCAGTATTTTTTTATAAATTACCAAAATTTCTTTATTTCATTCTATGTAGTTGGGAATACTATAGAATAAATACCCCTCAGTAATGATTATATTTTGATCAAACGTTTGTGAAGACTTTTAATTTCGAAAACTTTTTACATCACGGATTAAGTTTATCAAGACAGCCGTCGAAAAGCAGTACGCACTGAACAGCTAGTTGTTCACATTTGAGACTTATTAGCAGATAGGTTCTAAGATGAGTATTTTTTGCAATATGCGCGTGGCTCAAATCTTATGTACGAAAAAGAAACAGGATTTTATTTTAGTAGAAAACCTTTTCTTATAGAGTCCTGTATTTACGTCCACAAATTTATTGTTTTATTTGCCTCACACGCATCAAGAATCCTGCTTCTGATTTTTTGAATTTTTGAATTCATAAGTCAATTGAAGTTAGAACGCCATGAAAAGCCTTAAAGCACTAGAAGTCCGTTTCACCCTAATATAGGAATCCTCAGCAGTGCTTATCCACGATCCCGCCTTGCAAGACTCGAAACCAGGGCCTGCCAGTGTAGCGCGTGAACGCTTAACCTCTAGAAGATTAAGCCAGCATCCAACTCTGTTAATGTCTACCTTCAACTAATCCATGAAGTTGCGCCACCGTACACCATTGTCTTCAGTGAGTTGATATCACAACAGACCTGGCTGAACTCCACTGGTTAAGCGCTCGCACGCGAGACCGACAGGTCCTTGGTTCTAATCTCGCGAGGGGCGGGATCGTGGCTGCGCACTGCTGAGGAGTCGCGCAATAGAACGAAACGGCCGTCTAGTGCTTATAGGTTTTCCATGGTGGTCTACCTTCAATTGACTCATGTTTTGAACTACTGATATATATCATTTATTTAATATACGAACTTATGATTTATGATAGAGAAGATTTGTTGCTCAGGTGGATGATTTCGATTTTTTTTAAAAATAAGTACTCTTTCCAAGGAGTTTAATTCAAACAAACGCATATGTTTGAGTAGGATCACTTCATTCTTGTCGATTTAATTATTTTTGTTGAATATCATGGGATTTTACCTTGATTTTCCATGGTGAATTTGCCTTTTCTCTAACTTTATCACTGACCCTATAAAACATGCAATTACTTAATTAAATGACTCTTGATTTGTATAAGATTTTTATTGTTATTATGATCAATAATAATCACTAGGATAACTTTACATTTCCAAGTTGTTGTTACACGACCATAGTACAGTAGATTTATGATTCTCTCTTAAGATTTACTAACCAAACATTATGTAAGAATGTAGGAAGAACTCAACTTGGAATTTATTATTTCATATATATGTACCACAGTATAGTAGTTACTGTAATACATTGCTAATGGATTTCTAATTGATATTCAAAATTTTGATTCTAATTTTGTTAGCGCTAATTGGTTATGAAAAATCCTATATATGTAATTCACTTAATACTAACACAGACAATTTCTGAATAATCGATGCATTCTATGAGTAAAATAAATTAGTTACTGCATAAAATACCCACATGATAAGCTTTTTTTTAAATTTCAACTTTCAGCTTGTAAATAAAGCTTAAATTTATGGTTTTCAGTCAATCAGGATAATAACCTAAGTAAATAGAATACACCCATTAAAACATTAAATAGGAAAGATTAGTTCAACGAAATGTTCTCTTCTTGGCGAATTCATTTTCAAAGTATATACATATATATATATATTTGCGATTGTACAGCTTTGAAAATGAATTCACTGAAAAGAGCAATCCTCGTTGAATCAATCTTTTTTATTGAATAACCTGAGTATTAACATTTATAATTGTAATAAGTTTTTAACATAACTAATGATTGGAATGGAGTTACTTTGTTTATAATTCTATCAGTGTAATTATTATTCTAGTAGTATCTTTAAGTCAAGAAAACTGATTTGTTTCTATGATTGTGGTCTAAATTGAATGGTTTATGTTTTTGTGATTATAAATAATTCTTATTTCCGATTAACTAATCATTGATCAGGAATACGAAACCTAGTCATCAGCGTTTCTTTCCTGGCTATTTTCCAATCAACAAATAATTATTAATTTCAATAGTTAAGATCATGAGTCAGTTGAAGCTAGATCACCATGGAAAACCTGGAAGCACTAGACTCCCGTTTCGTCCCATTATGGGACTCCTCAGCAGTGGGAATCCACGATCCCGCGAGATTCGAATCCAGGACCTACTGGTTTCGCGCGCGAGCACTTAACCACTAGAGCACTGAGACGACATCCAACTCTGTTAATGTCTAATTTCAACTAATCCACGAAATTGAGCGACGCATCCACGATTGTCTTCAGTGAGTTGCTATCTCACAACAGACCTGGTTGAACTTCACTGGTCAATACTAATTATTATTTAATTTAGAAATTTATTTTAATAATGCTATTTATATCACATATTTTATGTTGTATTCTTTTAGCTTGATCGTAAGTATAAACTGCATCCAAGTGTTATGCGTAAACCACCATCAACTGTACGTAATTTATCAACAATACGTAAAGAAAGTGTTGGTAGTTTTGCATCGGGTGGTTTAACTGTTACATCACAATTAAAAACTAATAATTTTATTGAATATATTCATGATCATGAAACAGCTTCATATAGTGATATCAGTGAACATGAAGACGGTGTAGTTCGTCGAACTTGGGCAACATAAATTCAATAGAGACGTATAAAAATCATAAAAATCAAGATCAAATATTACTTACATATTTTTCTACTGATTATTTCATTCATTCATATATATATATATATATATATATATATATATATATATATATATATATATATATATATATATATATATATATTACTTCAATTTTTTGTTTGTGTACAACAATTGTGCAATGTAACAAATAATAATAAAAAAAACTAATACTATCCATACCTCTACACTGAACTACAAAAATTTATTATTCTTTTCACGCATATCTTCATTTAGTTTGTGTACTATCAAAATTTTAATTGATTTAACACATTTCCTTTTCTTCTTGTCTATCTATTCTGTAATTCTATTCATATATACAATTTAATGCGTTTGTTAATTCATGTAGGTAACTCTACTCTACATATCCTTTGAGTAATATGATTCTATAAAGCGGAATTACGCTTATCCTACATGCCGTTGATATATATATATAATCCCATTCCACTGTATCGCTTCTAGTTTTCACTCAGTTTTGTGTTAATTTTCAATCTTCACAAATGTTTGATCCCAAAAAGTATACGCAATAATTCACTAGGCTTTATTTTATTTTTTGTTTAGAAAAATAAAAAAAGAGAAAAATTTCATGATTAAATTATTTTGCAAAATTTTTGTTTACAGTCTTGTTGATCTCATTCACCTCGGTATTCTTTTTTTCTTTTTTTTTGATTTTATTTTTGTTGCTTTCTATCACTTAGTTGGCAGATGCAATCAGAACCCTTCTATATATATACATACACTCATATATAGAAAAATATCATTTCACACATACACAGGTAAGGGTAATAGTTTGTTTACATTTGAACCAAGAATATATATATATAGTTTCTGTGTTTCTTTACGCTTTTTGTGAACTTATATATACATTATATTATGCATTGAAAATACTGTTGGAATATTAAAATAATTCAACTATTTTGTAATATATATATATTTACATATAAAATTTCATTGATTTCAAGGTTTCTTTTATTGTTTAACAAACTAAATTGTAGTAATATTGAGAGATATATATTATCGAACTCATGACGTTCAGATATCACAATGAATACAGTTTATTCGATTAGTTATTTATTTGAATATCAGCGTCTTATACCCTAAAATTTCAGTCACTCAATATGAGCGTTTAACAGCTAGTTAGGTTCTGAATTGGTTTACTCCATAATAAACGTCTCAGAATTTATCCTGAAATCAGTGACTACTGAATATATGATTATTGTTTTATTTTTATATAGTTTATGCCGAGCTATTTAGTTTAATGGTGGTTTCTGTCAAGGATTGATGAAAAGTTCTAAATTATATACGATTTGCCTCGGTTTTTAATGACCGATGTACAATAACTTGTCAGCTACTTTTTTATAGTAACGAATTGTAAAAACATCATTTTTTAGTGCATTTATTTTGTGTTGACATTTAGCATTGTAAGCTTATAAATACAGTTTATTTGAACATATGGAGTAGTATTATTGGCCGCACAAAATGAGCTCTTTCGAAAATCACCTCTGAATATTATCTTGACTAGCTCTCCAAAGGATTACAGAAATCATTCAGAAGTTCAATCTTTGAGCATATAGTCAATTTTGGCTAATCCACTTCACTAGAGGTTTCCTCCAAAATCACACTTAATAAGAAGAGTCGGTTCAAGAGAAATGAAAGTGAAAAATCTATATACAGTAGAGGCTATTGCTTTCCACTATTTCTAGTTTCACCTTCCAAAATCTTAACGTGCCTTCCTATCTTCCATAATCCATGATTTTTATTTTCATTTTATTAATTCTACTCTTTTCGAATTATTATCACAACTATTAGTAAGCAATTATCACAACTTATTTCGTTATTAACAGCTATCAAGTAAAGAATTATCTTGACCTTAGCACATTTCACTAGCCGATTATGCCTTAACTTCTTTTCAATATCTATTTCAAGATTTGTTTAAGTAATTAACACCTTTCTATTTTACTATGGAACACCAATTTAGCAATTAAAATTAATTATAAATATGATTATGCAACTTAATTAAATGAAATGATCGAAAAGAAAATTTTCTTTGCTAAACTTCTTTTTTTATTCTTCAATAACACAATGAATCTCTTTTATTATAAATAAATATCATTGAAATATGTATCATTTGTAAATCAGTAAAAATGGAAGTAATTTCAATGGTTGAGATCATGAGTTAATTGAAGTTTTATTTTATTTATTTATTTTAACACATAGATAATGGTACAAAGAGGCACCAAATACATATGCGCCACACAAATCTCATTTGATATGTGTGAGGAATAGGATACTGCCCGGGTGCCCAAACCGAAGTAGGTGGTTTTCTTAGGGAGCCACACCCGTAGCCTTCGCATTGAAGGTCTGATCCACAAGGCAGTGGAGCATCGTAAGAAGATGCAGTCCCATAGCAGCCGGTGACCAACAATTGCTTCATACACCATTTGTTCCTTCAGGATACTGGAGCCCATGTGCACCATTGGTTTGAAATCCGGTTAAAGCGCCGGACATTCGCTTTTCGTCTTCTCATTTTCGTAAGCAACACCCTCGCCACGAGAAGACAGTGAGTAGGACTTCCCTGGCAGAGGCTATATACGCGTGGCCATGTGAGAGCATTTCGAGAGGGAGAGCGGACTCTCCGCACTCTCGGTCGTACCAGGGCCACTGTGGAAAACCTGAAAGCACTGGACAGCCCTTTCGTCTTACTACGGAACTCCTCAGCAGTGCGCATCCACGGTACCCCCCGCAAGCGCTCAACCAATGAACCACTGAGCCGACATTCAACGGTTATGGGTTCAAATCTCGCGAGGGAGGTGGGATAGTGGACGCGCACTGTTGAGGAGTCTCACAATAGGACGAAACGGACGACCAGCGCTTATACGTTCTCCATGGTGGCCTAACTTTAATTGACTTATGAATTCAATCATTGAAATTACTATTATAATATCTACAAAAAAACCTTCTGATATAAAAATTGAAGTATCTAAATAATCACTGATCTAGAAATTTAGAAAACTCTAATACATTATTATATTATACTAACAAACACATTGAACATTTTGACTGATTTATTATCATATTCAATATTATACTATTTACTAGATACCATGAATATGTCATGGCAAATAATAATAATAATAGAACGGAATTAAGTAATTATTATACAAGAAATAATATAACGTTAATAGCTGAATTTTATTGAATGAAATAATTCAACTAATCTACATATGAGAACGAACTTCCCTTAAAATGATTCAATTTACTTTTGTGAGTGAAGTAAATAGAATAATTGAACATTGATGAAGTAAAGATAAAATTGACATAATTTCCTTCATGTTTAATTCTATTCTTTAATGATGATGTACAAAATCTAATTGAGTTTATATATATAACTATATATTTCATGTAATAAAGAAAATCGATATGAAAAGATTAGAATTTATGAACGAACCAATCAGATTTAAGATAACAGGATTTTGGCGCAAAATTCATTCATCCATTCGTCATAATATCTTGTTAGCATTATAGTTGATGTCAGTTTGTGATGAAAAAACCATAAATTTAAATTCTAATCCTTAACATTAACTGTAAATTATTGTCTTTATTAAATAAGAACTTTCGTCTGAATTTGAACGAATAGTTTTACAATATTTGGGGGCTGAGTTAATGTGAGACATTAAAGAGGAAGAATGTATTTATAAAATCTCAGAGAAAGAATTTGAAGAGAATCGAACGTTTTGCCTAACAATCTGGTCCAAGCTTTTTCAAGAAAAATATAATCAAACAACAAAACTTTCGAGTACATTCTTCCTCTTTGTATTGTAATTATTCTTCAAACTGCTTTATAACTTTCATTTAGCCCCATTAAGTAGGTAAACACTCTCAAGGTCACTTTGGCATCATTCAAATGTCGTCCATAAATTATAGTCTCACCTTGTTTTTAAGTAGATCTTCGCGCGCGAGACCGATAAGTCCTGGGTTCTGATCCCTTGTTCAGGATCGTGGATGCGTATTGCTGAAGAGTTCCACAGTGGGACGAAACGGCCGTTCAATGCTTTCAGGTTTCCATGATGGTCTAGGTTTAATTGGTTCATGAGTTCAACTATTAAAATTACAATAATGTCCACGAAATTCCCTTTCTGATAATAACATTTTTTCATATTTAGATCTTATATACAGTAATATATTTATTTGCATTGGTGTAATATCTTGAACCTATTGGGTATATTAATGAACGGTTATATAACCAATCATAAATGAGACATTACATGATGACGGACGTAGTAGTAGTAGTTACCAAAAGAATAAACATGACAACGAGAAAAATATTTAGGTGTGAAAAGTAGGTCAAAATTTGTGTAAATTAAATTTTTAATTGAAGTCATGAACCGATCAACGTAAAACCACCACCGATCCCTGTTATGAAGCTGCACTACGTACTGATTTTATCCAAGGAGAAGATCCTCTATAGTTTGTTGGCTAACTTCTCCGGTAGTACGTCTTATATTACTTTTTTCTCGTAGAGCACTTCAGTTAGTGAATAAATACACAACGTAATAATCAAAGCGGGTAAATTAAATTTAGAGCGGGAGAAATCGCTTCATTTGTTCTTCAAACTAAGAAAACTAATCATATTAAGGAAAAATTGGAAAACAAGAGTACTTTGAAAATTTATCTATAGGTTACTGGATAATTATATTTAATTTTATGGGCTATCTTATATACAATGAATAATATCATTTCCAGTTGACAGTTGGTATTACCAAGGTAATTTACAACTGATTATCACTGGGTAGTGACCGATATAATACATATGAAGTCCTTATCGCTGATCGAATTCAATCAACCAAGTTGAAATGTGGATACTAGTTCAAGTGAATCGACATCGCATGTACAATGTTTAGATATAAGATGGTGGTGAAAGGCAGCTGAAAGGAAACACTAATCCGAGATTT